GAAAACGGGTTTAGAAATTGTCGGTTTTTAAACCTTGAACGTCCGTTATTGTTTAGAATGCTAGAAAAATGTTGTGAGACCACAATAACCGATCAGTTTATTTATAAATGTGATAGTAACAGCAATAATAATGACACAAATGCATTTGATCGGGTCAGCATAAACACAACTAATATTCACGTAAAATGAATAATTTTAGCAGGATTTGATCGCAATGATGTTCAACTTTATTTTTAGCACATCACACTGTAAATATGCGATAACAGGAAACTTTAAGCAAATAATAGAAAAAACAAAAAATGTGTGTTTTAGCGGCTGAGGAATTCGCATGATTAGTTGAGTTCCTGTTTCCGATCGAGTTTTCCGGCATTGAATTTTCGAGGTTTTTCACCGAAAAAAACTCCGGTCTTGTTGGAAAAAAGCAACAAGAAACGTGGTATGTGGTCTGCTGCCGGAGGGCCGCAGGAATTCGAGAAAGAAGCAGAGAGTAGAGCAGGGCCGATGTCCACTCACCGATATTAACAATTCTAATTCCCTCGTCGTCTTGGAGGAACTTGAGGGCCACCGAGACGTTTTCTAGTTTCTGGGACCGGAACGACGGCTTCTTGTTGTGCTTTGGGAGACGTTTTCCTGCGAGGACTTCGATTAGGGTAATAAGTCTCAATCCGTCACTGAGGTCAGTCTCCAAGTTTCCGATGTGCTTTTGCACGGTCTTCAGGTGCTCGTTGGCCCATCTCGTGAAGGTGTTTTGCTGGATTTTTTTCCACTGTGCGTCTTCCGCCAACTCGCGCTCGGTCGTCACCATTTCGTCCTCGTCATTAAACTCACAATAGTCCACATCGCGCTGCATACAAGCCTCGACCGGTTGCTGCTGCTGGAAGTTGCTTTGGTAGGGACACTGAGCCATGCTGATCAAATTCACCTATGACCCCTCTGAAACACACCATATACAACAAACAATACTACCGACTCGACAACAAACCCAAGCTTTTTCAAAAAAAAAAAAAAAACAAAATAAGGAATAAGGGCCGACTAGATAATAAAATAATAAAGTGATAATCAAACAGGAAATAAATAAGCAATTTTCCATGTTACCAAACGGAATTTTTATATTTAATTTAGCAAATCAAAAAAATATATTTACTGTCCACGTTTCTTTCTTTCAAAAAAATCAAAGGCTATAATTTTCACCTATTCTTTCCACATTAAACCATCTTTAAAAATATATGCTACTATGAAATAATAATAAAAATAAACAAATCACACCAAAACTCTTATTAATTATTAAATGTTCGTATTTTTACATTCCCCTCTTCTAAAAAAATAAATTCACACCCTTTTCAACTGAGTTGGCATTATTTCCCTAAAAATGTATAATTTGGTCAAATTTAGCTAGGGATAAATTTACTCGTGGGTTTGCCCATGTGTAGGCAGATGCTGATAAGTAATTTCACCCATTCTCGAATATTTGAATCACGTTTTTGTCATTCTCTACCGTGGTAAAAATACCAACTTTCGCAATGTGAAGACTTTCGACATTCCATCAAAGAAAAAAGCAAAGTCGAAAATCTCTTTTGCCCATTTACGCTGTTAAAAGAGATTTCGTTTAATGAGGATTAAAACACATCTCAAGTCTATTTATATCAAACTTGTCCTGTATTTGAATGCCATCCAATTATTTTTCTTTATATATAAATAAACAAATTATCAAGGGCGGCTCAAGTAATTCACCACTAATTGGTTTGCTGAAAATTTGTGTATATTTGGTTGCCTAATTATGTATTTTTGGATGAAAACTTGTTAGACGCTCAATTTGTTCGTTGTAAAAGTCGTTTTGACGGATGTGGTTGTGGTGTTTTATGTTTTTTATCTACTTTAAAAATAGGTACCTAGTGAAAAATTTTCCTTACATGTCTTAATACAATCGTAATGATTATTTTTTTGTTTCAATGTAAAAATTTATAAAAATGTTTCTCTAAATTATTATTATACATTTTAATTATTAAATATTTCACTTGCCTTTCAGCTTTTTTAGACCAGAACAAAGATGACGGTAAAAATGCGCGTCAATGAAATAATTTTGTTTCCGATGTTTATTGAAATTAATAATGAACAAATAAATATATGTTTAAGCATTATGAAGTACCTGACACTAATATTGCATGTAAACGTTTGGGAATTATAAATAGTTTCAAAATACGTAACTTTGAAAATAGATTTTTTGGAAAAATGTTTTCGGGCTTAAAAATTTTATCGAATACGGAGTAATCTATATTAAGCAATTTATGAAAATGAAAAACAATTAAGTGTTTATATTTAAATAAATTTAATCGGGGGTGCGACTTTAATTGTACTCACTTAATTTATTAGCGATATTATTTAGAGAATCCTCCGTAAAATCATTGCACTTTTATAACACTTTCGATGTAGTAGAAAGACTGAACACGACTCGAACTAAAGATATGTGTGAAACTAAGAATAGACCTCCGTCCATGAGTTTGGTTGTTTATAGATTGTCTTCAAACTTAACCCCACTTTTTTCAGTATTCAGCTCCATATTTTGTGTCACATGTCGATTTTTGTTAAATTTATACGAGTCTACGACCTTTCTTACCTTAGATATTCTATCAAAATAACCCCGGAGTCAAAAATGGCCTACGCGATTGCTTGAGAGCCGATAACCGCACTTAAAATTCTTCAGTGTCTTCAGACATATTTCCATAAAAACAACTACAATCTTTAACTCTTTTTGTACCCCTATCATTTATTGCCGTTTCTTTTTATCCCCTAGTCCCTAAATGATTCCATCAAAATCATCAAATTAGCTCCTCTCGCATTTTCGTTTTCGAGATCAACAGTTACGTAAGTAATTAAACTATATTTGACTATATTGTGAGTAATGTGACCTGAAAACTAAGCTTCAGAACCTTATATGGAAGTATTACGCGAGAATTTACATTTTACCTTGAATCTTAACAATTACAGTAAAGCTAACTACTATAGTAGCCCCTTCAGCACACATCATTTTTTATCAAATCTACTCTGTTCTTCAAAGTCACCCTTTTTTAAAAAGACAAAATTTTAAGGAGTCTATTCTGTTTTTCCAAAGGTGAATTCGATTTCGTCCAAACACATTCACCTTTGAAAACGCTTAAAATTTAAGGATTTTACCCCTGTTTTTTATAATAATAATTAAAAAATATATATTTCAAGAATTCTACTCTGGTTATAACAGAAATTAGAAACTGCCTTGAAATTAAAACAAAGTTAAACTTCAAGACATTTTGACTTTACGATTTTTTGGTCCAAAAAGATAAAAAACATCAATACACTTTAGATGTTTTAGCCTCTTGTAAATATCAGTATCGTTGATAAGAAAAAGAAATGAGAAATTTTACATTATCAGAAATAGAGTCAAAATGCAAAATTTTAACCCTCATAACATCGAAATTTTTATAGATAATTTTTTTTTAACATTTATTCCATGTTCTTGGTACATACCTTACCTTATATGGCATTTTTCTCTGGGGCCTGAGTTCTGGCGCACCCTATATATTTTAACAACTTGTTCACTATCGCAATAATTGGATTAATTCCGAAAAAGATAAAAAAAATATGTCACCGTTAGGGAACTTTTTATGAGTGAAGTTCAAAAACTTTTTTTGCCTTCAAATGCTAACTAAATTTCTCCCGAATCACCTATAGAAAATAATTGTATAATTTTTGATCACATGGATACTCCAAAACTTGAGAACAATCTCAACGAAAATGCCTCACATATAAAATTTTTCGCTTATGTGAATTCGCACAAATAAAAAACTCCTTTTTATAAAAGACTATCCCGCAATATTTAAGATTAAAAAAAATATAATGTTCTATTACTTTCATCCGCACCTATTGAGCGAATGTTTAGTTCCGGTGGTCAAATTTTGACACCTCGTAGAAACAAATTGTCGGATGAACAATTTGAAAATGTTTTGTTTTTAAAACATAATAATAGCATAGCAGTAAATAAATAGTATACGTATAATATAAGTTATATTAATTGTTAAAATTGTATATACCTTAAAAATATTAAGGATAATTGATGTGATGTAAGTTTTTGAATTATGTATTTTTTTCTATATAATAAAAATTATAAACTATAAAATCAGTGTTTTATTGTTTAAAAGCTAAAACGACTAACTATGAATAAAATATTATTGTTTTAAAACTTTTTCCCACTTTTACCTGGTCCTATCCAAACAGAAGATGATGTAATTGATTATTTGAAATTACACCAAAGCGTGTAACTGTAATTAATTGCATAATTTGTAATTTCAGTTGTAATCGCATTCTCATATTTCTATTAAATTATAACCAGTCTTTTTTATTTGCATACTTCGTTCTATTGTTTGTTCGTAAAGGAATTCCATAGTTGTTTTACTTGTTTTGCTCTTATTATTAATACATATAAACATTCGAATTGAAAAAGACGAAATAAACTTAGGTACCCCAAAGTTTAGATTTTTTTAATTAACTCTCAAAACCCTGGCAAGCTTTTTTTTAATTCTTATTTAATTTTATTTGATCAAATTTATTAGGAATTTAAAAAATGACGCATAGTCTGGCCGTAATACAAATGCAAATCACCTCGCATTCATTCCTAATTAGTCTTCAGATTTGTAAACCAGATATCAAATGACGTTCAGTGTAATGAAATTGTACAATAATTTAGGTATTTTCTAAAAATTTTAAGTTAGTGCTGCAAAAAAAAGCTCTGATTTCAAACAAATTTTGTTATATGAATTTTCATTCGTCTTACTCACAGTTTGACAAATAGAAAATGAATAATTGCTAATGAATCATAACTATGACAATGAAACTTGCAAACGTGAATTTTCGTGAATGTTTGTAAATAAAATATTTTGCGTATGTTACAGTTCGATATGGTACCGGAAGCGCAACAAAAGGGAAACACCGGAAACTCATACATGGACACTCATGAAATTTGTTATGATCGTTATGTACCATTTCATTGCTGAAGCGATTTAACATTGACGAAATACAATGTAACAGAATAGATTTATTTAATTTTTGACGTGAAATCGTAATGTATTTAACACAAGTGATCGTTTATTCAATTTTTTTGAATCTCATAGACTGTCAAAATTGGCGAGAAAGGCAACCGACAATTAGAGTACAACAAGGGCTTTTAGAAGGGGTAAGTCACTGTCGAAAAAAAAACCCTTTCTCACTCTTTAACAGTCTAGGATTATCACCGATAGTGGCAAAACCGTAAACGCGTTTCTGGGCATCCCATACGCTGCGCCCCCAACAGGTAATTTAAGATTTGCGCCACCCCAGAAACCTCTTCCTTGGAATGAAACTCGTCAAGCTACAAATTTTGCACCCCATTGCCCCCAACTGCCCCTAAAACCCGGAATAAATGACCAGGAGGACTGTCTTTACCTCAACGTTTGGTCACCAGAGGTTTGACAAAATTTGTGTCAGCGATGGGCGATTATTTTTTTCCAGAATGCAGGTCTATACGCTCCACTTCCAGTCGTGGTTTTTTTCGAAGGGAGGAATTTTTACCAAAGTAGCGAATTTCCGATAAATGGACAGGATTTGGCAACTGAGGGGTTGGTCACAGTGACAATCAACTATAGGTTGAACGTTTTCGGATTTTTCTGCTTGGGGTCAGCTGAAGCGCGAGGAAATTTGGGTCTGTTGGATCAGTATTTTGGTTTGGTTTGGATCCGACAAAATATCAATCAATTCGGGGGCGACCCGGAAAAAATCACGCTCTACGGCCAACAAGCGGGGGCTGCCAGTGTGACTTTTCACATGGTTTCGAATCGGACAGCTGGTTTGTTTTCGCAGGCTCCAACTTCGATAAATAAATGTGAGTGTTGAAGGATTCTTCCAAAGAGTTATTATTTCAAGTGGAAGTGCCGTGGCTACTTGGCAGGATAAAAATGATCCGGTGGTGGCATCCAAACAAATACTTCGGATGTTAGGCTGCGATGCTTACACGGTTCAGCCAATTAAATGTCTGCGATCAAAGAAAGTGGAACATATTTTACAAGCACTGGCTGAGTATTCAGAGGTGCACATAAAACAACCAAATTTTTAGACACTCATCAGGTTTTGTAGTCTTTTAACTGGAACGACAAATTTTTGCCTGTCGTCGACACTTTCTTACCAGAAGACAACCGGTACCTTCCATTGAACCCCAAGAATGCCCTCAAAGAAGGCACATATTGGCAAGTACCCATCTTAACCGGAATTTCGAAACCTATCGCCGATGAACAATTTAGTAATATTTTTTTAACAATAGTCACTCCTTGACCCTTATTTTTAGTGCAGTGGTTAGAACTTGCAAGTCAGGGCTTCAGCCAATTACAGCAATATGTTGAAAAAGTTAAAATTCCTGAAATTATGCGTTTGTACAAACTCGGGGTGTCTAACAAAGATCACATTTTTGATCTAATTAAGTGGCACTATTTCTCATCGAATCAGGGGGACGTCAGACTCCTTTACGACGAGTTGAAAAACTTTGAGTTTCAGGCCAAAATGGAAGCCCCACATTTTTTGCAACTTTCGCATTTTATTTCGTCATACGTGCAACCAATTTATGTGTATTTTATGGATGATGTTGGATTTGTTCTCAATACAACTGATTCGACCATTACCACAGACCTGCTCTTGGTATTTGGACCAATTTTGTTAAAGCAAATGGCCAGAAGGCGGTTTAATGCCAACGAAATGAATTTGAGCCGACAAATGAAACAATTGTGGACAAATTTTATAATGTTTGGGTATTGTATTAATTGTGATTATTAGGTACAAAATATAGAAAAGTTTTCAGGAACCCTACGCCAAACAATCACGTAAAATCGTGGCGAAAATACACCTCTGGGGATTTTTACATCGAAAATTTTGGGCCTGTTAATTCCTATATAAATGAAGAAAACAAAAAACGGGTGCAGAGAGTTTTGTTTTGGAATCAGCTAATACCAAAAATGGTCAATTTTAAGAACAATATGTCAAATAACATCCCGAAAGAATTACAAAATAGTCCAGGTGAAAAATTGATCTGCAATATAGAATTTTATTTGAAAACTTTTAGACCCAGCTGCAGGCTTCCGGCATGCAATGTACACTTTGGTTGCTCTTGTGATTGCCCTTCTTGCTTTGCTTTTAATTTGTATCGTGTTATTAAAAAAGCGATCGAGGGAGCGAGAAAATCATCTTCATATGGGATATTAAAATAATTTACAAACCAATTAACTAAATATATTTAGACGTTTTTGGGGCTAAGATGATGACAAGGCAAGGCTATAAAGTCTTTTTAATTCTATTTATAAATGTCAGCGGAACCAGGTAGACGGAAAAATATCTACATATTGGGTGGTTAAAAAAGCGCGCTATTTCATTTTTTAACATGAGTCACACTATAAATATATTTCGTCGCTACAACAATTTTATTGTTTTTGTCATCACTCTGTTGTTACGCCTCTTTGTATAGTGTCCAAAAATAATTATTTTGTGACCTTCACTGTATATACTTATCTTTTTTGTTATTGGTCGAATGATTTCCATTTATATAGAATGACATTTGAATTCCACCAATGACAATACAGGATTTTATTTAATTTCAACATTTATTTTTGTAGATAGGTATTAAAAATAATAAAAGTGTATGAAAAATAAAAACTAATAGATATTTATCTGTCCCGTTTGAGTATGTTTTAAAATAAATCACACATTCTTAACCTAAAAACCTAATTAGCACAGGTGGAAAAAATATAAATATGTGTATAAATAATATACACTTTTTCACGTAGAAATATCGGTTTTATTGCCTCTTGTAACATAAAAAATAAAAATCAATGACATTTTTTTATGGAAATATTAATATTATTTTAAAATCCTAACCTAGTCCAATATAAAGTTTTGTAAAGTAGTATTTCTTGTCTAATTATCTCAAAAATAAGTTAAATATTGCGTTACTGAGTAATTTCTGATTCTGTCTTTATTTTATACAATTATTTTAGATAAAAACCTCAGACATTTGGACTTTGTGCATTCGTGCTGTTCCGCAATTAGATAAATACCAGTGATAAGTGTGCAGTGCCTTTCTTGAAATACAATTAAACATGTCTTCCCTCTGGAACACCCTTTTAAAAGTCCCCACTCAAATAAAACAATTCTCCGTAATTTTTTAACTATTTTACAAAAAAACTTGACATAACCTCAATATTTTTTTAGGTTCCGGTACGTTATTTAAATCTTTTGGAATACCAAAGCAAACACCTCTTGCGTAAAAATGGAGTTGCCGTCCAAGACTTTTGCATGATTGATGATAAGGGATGCACAGAATTCGAAAAATTCAGTAATAATTTAAATGAAAAATTGAGGTTATGTCACAGTTAATTTTTTTTACAGATGTGAAGGAATACGTAATAAAAGCACAAATTCTTGCCGGTGGTCGTGGTAAAGGCCATTTTAGCAATGGTTTTAAAGGAGGGGTACATGTCACTGAGAAGTAATTATTTTTTTTCTAATTGTATAAAATTGAGTGGGTTATTTCAGACGCAATGAAGTCGATGATATCGTCAAAAAAATGCTCGGGCATAGGCTTATAACGAAACAAACTCCCAAAGATGGTATTGAGGTGAAAAAAATCATGATTGCTGAAAGTGTGACCATTAAGAGAGAGACTTATGTTTGCATTTTGATGGATAGACAAAAGAACGGTCCTGTCTTAATTGCGTCCCCTGCAGGCGGCGTGGACATCGAAGGCGTGGCCGAGAAGACCCCCCATCTTATCAAAAACATTCCAATTGATATCTACGAAGGGGTGACAGACAGTATGGCAAATGAAGTTGCAGAGTTTCTAGAGTTCAAAGGCCCCCTAAAGATTTTGGCCGCAGCCGAATTGAAAAAGTTGTGGCAGTTCTTCCTCGCTGTTGATGCCACCCAATTAGAAATCAACCCGTTAGTTGAAACCGACAATAATAAAGTGATCGCAGTGGATGCCAAAATCAATTTTGACGACAACGCTCAGTTCCGCCAAAAAGACATTTTCGCCTTGGAAGACGTCACGGAGAGCGACCCTCGCGAGGTTGAGGCAGCTAAATACAACTTGAATTACATCGGAATGACCGGAAACATCGGTTGTTTGGTCAACGGCGCCGGTTTGGCAATGGCTACCATGGACATCATCAAGCTCCACGGGGGCGACCCTGCTAACTTCCTCGATGTTGGTGGAAGCGTCCGTGAAGAACAAGTCAAAGCCGCTTTCAATATTCTCACTTCTGATAAAAACGTTAAATGTATTTTGGTCAACGTTTTCGGTGGAATTGTGAATTGCGCGACGATTGCCAATGGAATCGTGGGTGCTATGAAAGCAATGAAGCTTGAAGTGCCTTTAATTGTCAGATTGGAAGGCACAAACGCGGCCGAGGCCCGGAGGATCATCAAGGACTCCGGGATGAATATCCAAACAGCCGAAAATCTCGATGATGCGGCCAAAAAAGCGGTGCAAAATGCTTAACAGAGTGTTGTTTGATTGTCAACAACACAAAAAATTGTTCTAATAACCAATGTTTCATTTCTTCGTTTTGATATTGTATTTTCGCTTAATAAAAGTTTCTCATTTATTACTCGTTTTTTTTTATTTTACAGAAAAAAAAATGATGACCAAACTGTTAAGTCACACCCCATAATCTGTCTTAATGATAATGACCAAAATTATTTGCGATCAAATGATTACATACTTACTCTGATTCTTATTTTTAATGCTTTAAGTGTTTATATTTTTTGTATTGAAGGGGTAAATAAAAGAATGTTTTTTTAATAATGTTTATTATTTTATAAATTCCATGAACCAAAGTGAATAACATAAGATGGAGAAATTAATTTGAACGAAAAATAAATATGAAATGTACAACTTTATATTACAAATTTACTAAATTTGCATACATCAATTAATGGGATATTGAATAATTGCCAAAACAAACTAAAAACCAAACAAATTAATCTATTTAACTAAGATAGTGAAAATTGCAAACAAGCAAAAATCACGAACGAATAATAAGTTTCATTTATTATGATGTTTCGATTTTTATATATATTTTTTTGTCGTAAGACATGTTTGCAATTTTTTTCATTTTATTATATTTAATCTGTGAGAGCGAACGTTTACTCTTTTTTAATAGCAGCCTGTTTGGCTTGATGGGCCTGTAAGACAGCAACGGCTTCTTCCACCTTGGCTTTGAGGGATTCATTATGTTCCAACATATGCAAAAGTTCCGAATTGTCAATTTCGAGCAACATACCGGTGATTTTTCCGGCCAAGTCTGGATACATGCGTTGAATAAGTGGGAAGAGCCTCTCACCCAGCATTTGCTTTTGCTCTTGTGGCGGGGCAGCTGCCAACATGGTGGCTGTCAAAGGCTCCTGGCCTTGAATGTGGACAGCTTGCTGGACCGGTGCAGCATTGCTGATGCCTAAACCTTGTGGAGGATTACGCATATTTGCTGTATACTTGTAAGTAGTTGGGCGATTACCTGCTGGTGCTACAACGGCTTGGCTAGCTAATGGTCGTCCTTGTATATTCGGTGGCTGCTGGCCGGTTATTGGTCTTGGCACATTGATATTGCTTCTTAAAGCGGCTGACTGGTTCGGGGGCCTGGGCGCGGCTCGGTACGTCGTTGGAATGGTACCGTATGGGTTAGCACTGCCCTGGGCGCCGGGCCTCACGGGGGTCTGTGCCGGCCATCGTGGGTTCGTGCGGATCTGGGCCATTTGGGCCGCCCCATAGAACCTTTGCGGGGCTGGGATCGTTGGAACAAAGTATCCACTTGACGTTCCTGGCTGAATAAACTGACCCATTTGGTGCATGCGTATGTTCGCCATACGTTGCATGTATTGTGAAGTCAAGTGGGCTTTACGATCTTCCTTGCGTTGCGCTAAGGCCACATATAAAGGCTTTGAACCTACGATCCGACCGTTCATCTCAGTTACGGCCTTTGTGGCCTCTTCCGGCGACGAAAAACAAACGAAGCCAAAGCCTTTGCTCCTATTGTCCTCCATCATTACTTTTGCGGATGTTATGGTTCCAAACGGAGAGAATTCTTTACGTAAACGTTCATCGTCAATAGTGTCGTCGAGGTTTTTCACATAAAGGTTTACACCTTGGTAGCGGTTCAAACGCTCCATTTTCAAGGCTTCAAAGCGACGTTTCAACTCTTGTTGACGTTCAGCCTTCTTTTGGGCGCGTCCAACGTACAAAGGTTTTCCTTCTATGATTTCTTTACCTAAACAAACAGCGTTAGCAACAAAATCGAAAAAAGTTTGATCAACTAATATACCATTTAAAGCTTCAACGGCTGTTTCAGCGGCTTCAGGACTTTCAAAAGCGACAAATCCAAATCCTTTTGACTTGCCATCATCCTTGCTCATAATCTTGTAACTGGTGATTTTTCCGTACTTTTCAAACATATTGCGCAGTTGTTCTTCAGTCAAGTCTTCGCCGAAATTCTTGACGTAAACGTTGGTGAAAAGTTTAGCTTTTTCGCCTAGTTCCTTTTCACGTTCTTTACGTGGAATAAAACGGCCAACGTAGACTTTCTTTCCGTTGAGCAACATGCCGTTTACTTTTTCGATTGACTTATTAGCCGCTTCTTCTGTTTCAAAATGGACGAAGCCGTAGCCTTTGCTGGTACCATTTTCGTCTTGAGCTACTTTGCAACTAAGAATGTTTCCAAAGGCTGAGAACGTATCGTACATAGCCTTGTTGTCAATAGAACGATCTAGATTCTTGATGAAAACATTTCCTACTCCCGACTTACGAAGGGATGGGTCTCGCTGGGACCACATAATGCGAATAGGGCGGCCCTTGATCAAATCAAAATTCATGGTGTCCAAAGCACGTTCAGCTGCAATATTAACATTTACCAATTTCTAAGATATTTCAATGTTGCGAACGTAGTGGGGGAAGGTTAACAATCAAGGCGGATTAAATATTAAATGGCAGTCGAGTACCATATGGAACAAATTAATGGTAAATGGATTTGTAGAAAAAGAATTATCGCACTTACCATCAGCGGGTTGCTGGAAATTCACATAAGCGTAACCCAGAGAACGCCTCGTTATCAAATCTCTGCACACACGAATGGAAAGGACTGGTCCAGCAGTGGAAAACTTCTCAAAAAGCATTGCTTCCGTGATATCGGTGTGGAGATCCCCGACGTACAAAGACGCCATGGGGTAGTTTGGAGCACCCGGATTCATCTTCGTTTTTGCACACTACACAGATATGCTACGCGTTAACATAAGAAACGAAAAATATACATTAACCGTTTATTTTCGTTTTTTTCCACTGTTTTTCGATTTTTTTGGGGTTTTTAATGTGTTTTTATAATTTTTTTGGATTTTTGTAAATATTATTTAGCTTTTTTTTAGGTGGGTTGTGTGTTCTAAGAAGATACACAACCACACGCTTACACCACTAACAACAGTAACAAAATGGAGTCGCTAGAGCATTTTCACTACTTATACAAGCCGGATATGACTGTATTTCAGTGTTGCCATGTGGTGCAATGTTGAATAAATTAATCAATTTTAATAAATTTTGCCAGTAATTTATAAAAAAAATTAACATTTTTGGTTTCGAAAAATGTTTCAAAAAAGAAACCAACGTTTATTTGATTTTTATCGTGCTAAAATTACAGAACTATAAAATTTTTCCGTTGACAAAAGTGACTATTTTTAAAAATTCTTGCAAGCACCGTCTTCTACAATACCCCTATATTTTTAACAAAAATAAGGAATAAATTTTCAATACTACAGAAATATTTTAATGCTAACACATTAAAAGTTTAGAATATTATGAACACAGTTTCTGCCGGAAATACCTACACGTCAAATTAGTGGCGGTATATTTGAAGCAAAAATTCAACTTACTAAACATTTTGTAAACAGTATTAATTCCAATTAATAAATAATTGGGATAAGACTTATTAAAAAAGCTGCAAAATGGCAATCAAATTTATTTTACGCATATTTTTTTTTTTAAAAGACATCGAGTAAATCTATATTTACACATTCTTTTCTAATTTTAATAGCGAGATTACATACCTACTATTATTTAATAATTTGTTTTAATGTTCATATTTAACAAACTCATAAACAAATAAATAAATAATCGTACGAATAAATCGGTGTGTATACAGCGTGTTTTAAAACTTGCGCTCCAGAGAAAAACGCCAAGTAAGATAAGATACAAGCAGGCACATGGAAAAATGTTTAAAAAATTGTATCTGTCAAAAATTTTTGACATTTGATCTTTTTATATCTATTTAATGTTACCGATGTTTTTTCATAATTATTCAGTAAAGCTACAAAAACTTTCCTAATAAAAGCCACAAGTAACGTTAAACATAGGTAGTTACAATTTAGGATTCAGCTTCTTTGTTTCTTCTTCTAATAGCCTGCGGCAAAAAAAACATGTAAAATAATTTTTCCAACACAAATAAATAAGTTCAATTGCAAAATTTAAACTCTCATAATTTCAGAATTTTTATAGATAGAATTTATAAACATTTTTTCCATGTTTCTGGTATGTTATCGTACTTGGCATTTTTCTTTGGGTCGCGAATTCTGAAACAACCTGTGTAGAAATACATTTTTTCGATGTGTATCGGTCTTATCTTCATTGACTCCACTCATTTATGATTAAGATATAATTATATTACAAGTTTAAACAAAAATATTGTATGAGTAAATTTACTTTAACAGCTACTCATTTACGCAATTTTTTAGCTACAAATAATAATTTTTAAAACACGTAACAAATATTTGAAGAGAAATAGTTTTTATACACCACAAATTATAACAAGGATTATGAAAACACTGCTAACATTAAATTTTTAATAAAATATATGGTGTTATTAATTTTTATTGTTATTACATTTTCATATAAGTTTTCATAGTTTGTAATGGGATAAATTTATTTATGTTATTAAATTTTGATAAAATAGTACTTTTTAGAATTACTTAAATCTGGTTGTATTTGAAATTCAAAATTAATTGTATATATTATAAAAGTTGTTTAAAAATGAATAAATATAAATAAATTTTCTGTTGTTTTAATTTCTAGTTGAATGTCTTCAAATTTAAATTATGAGTCTATAATAAATTTAGTTAAGGTCTCGAAAAACGCTGGAAACGCTGGAAACATGAGAATATCGTAGTTGTTAAAATTAAAACAAACAAAAATAACAAAGAATGTCTTTATTTCCATGTAAACATGGCAATGTGGCAACGTCTCAACCACTCACATGGCCATGTATGGAACTTATTAATAAAGTTTTATCTTAAAATTTTATTTGCAAAGTACAGCTGTGCTGATTAAGTAGATAATAAAAAATTGTTACTTGTTCCATGTGAAATATCACGTTTTATCGCTTATTTGTGCAAAAATTCATGGTAGGTCGATAAGATAAGTCGCTAAATTACCATCTCGGTAGTGTTATTGGAAGGGATTTCCAGATGGGGCAACGTGTGTAGGTTTGTTCATCCCGTTTTGTTCTGTGTTCTCGCTCCTGACGTAAGAGAGACAGATGAATAATAGTGAGAAAAACCAAGGAACAGTGCGGCGCGTTGTATTTCGTCTGTCAATATCGTTTCAAGAAAAGATGTGATAATTTTTTGAGAAACTTGTGTGAAAAACAGAAAAAAACAAATCGTTGCTGTAAGAAAATGCCCGTCAGATTAAAAATTTGGACGGTACCGTAACAATTGAGGATCGTGTGTGTGTGTGTGAACAGTAGGAGACCTGCAATGGCAGGAATAGAAGTCGATATAAATTCGTTATTGGCCCAAAAAGATGCCATCATACGGGAACAACGGGACCAGATAATTCGGCTGAAAAGGGAATTGGATGGAGTTGCCAGCGAAAGAGATCTTTTGCTGTGTGAAAACAGTAATTTGAGGTTCGAGTTGGAAATGGTGGAACTGAAACGGTTACAAGATGAAAGGTGAGAAAATTGCATTAAACAATAGTAAATTTATTGAAATGAAGAAAATCTCTCCAAGGGTGAAACGTTCCTTGTCATAAATCGATTGTAGTTTCATTGATGAAACGTCAAATTCTGTAAAATTACAGTTGTGTTTTGTTTGCAAAGTTTTACGTTTGTTTGTTTTTTGTTGTACTTTTCTGGGACAAGGATGTTGTAAAATGTCATAAACGACGCCTCCCACTGACTTGTCATAGTGCGCATGCGTGCCGACGTCGCGACGCCGACCGTTCACACTGGTTAAGAAGAAAATAAAGTCGATGGTTTTTATTAAATTAAGGTAATTGGCGTTAATGTTGGTATTCCTGTTTGGAGGTTTTGTTTTTGTCATAATAGGATTAGGGAGGCGGCGGTCGCATTTGGGGGTTGTCCAGGTGTCATTAACCTCGAGGATGCACTCTTTGGCGGAAATACGCGCTCGGGGTCCCCACAAAGTGTCATATATGCCACAGTCGAACGGCGTATTGATTTCTAAATAAGGGAAAGTGAACGGATATCCTCAGGCTAGTCTATAGCGCGCTGTCATTTTTGAGGCGATTCTTTAGCTGAACGTTTCTTGGTATTGGCAAAGCACCCACACGTTCGCGGTAATTGCTCGTGCATCAGCCTTGAGGCTCGTGTTTCGTGTAGTACAGTCGCACATGTCGTCGGCGGCGTCAGGTTTAGGTTGCACCAGGGTTTGATCTTGCCTCGGTGTTTATTTGTGGTGATGTAACACCAAGGACTGTGACTTAGTGACGTCAGGCTATAGCCCCGCTCGCCTTCTTCTAACTGTGCCGATCGTTCCATTCGGTTGTCTGTGCTGAGGCACGGTCAGCTGACATTTACAATCCACAAACTGTGTACCAAACTCGCGATTTTGCGATTTTACAACCCTAGTACTTCCGGCCACCACCAGTGATCGACACAAAAGTAGAAAGTACGATTACTTTTACTATCGCTGTTTAATCCGGTCGCAAGTGCAATCATGGTACGTGATTTGTGAGTGCTTGTAATGCGTGGACAGTCGCCAGGGGGGTTTCCCCAACCCTTCGTGCAAAGTCAAGTTAGAACTGAACATGTCAGGTCGAATCCTGTACATACGGTTGATGTGTGTGATAGAACTGTTGTCAGGGTTAGACGGTCAGGAATACAACAAGAAAGAATCAGGGTGGTTTGCACCACCAGAAGGCAACATGTCAGTAGATTGGTCACTGTTACCGACGCATGTCATACTTTACCACCTTTCCGGAAACATGTCACTGTCATCAGGTAAAATCCCCGGAAAATAACATTTCACATTTCTCAATGTCAAACTAAGTACCTATATATGTTTAAAGAGCTCAATTATTTCCAAGTATGTACGTATTTGGGTAACTATGTTACTTTATTTAACAGACGTGAACAAGATTCGCGTTTTTTCCATTGTCAAGATAATTTGGAAAAAGTCTGTTTTAAATGATTAATGACGATGATTGTTAAATTGTTTCAATTGTACTTTAACAGCCACAATAGATCTCCGTACCCTTACTCACTCATTACAATAACAATTAGAAATTATTGATAAGTCACATTTTTGTCATTTTGAATGAATCATTGTTTATAGGTGGGTGATCAGGGCACGGACCTCCTTGTGCATTTACCGTTGGGGTAATTAACATGCGCCTACCGTATTAGTTTATTTTTGTTTTGTACCTAGGTTGCTAATGCGCCATTAAACCTACATTGGTTTAACTGTAAGCTGCATTTTATGTCACGTTAGTATTTGTTTTTGCGGGAGAAAGTATGGCTTTTTAGCAATTTTTTGATGTATAAAATGACGTCACGTTACGTCACAGGTGTGTTACACATGGCAACGTTGTTTGAAATGAGGGTATCGTTATATGCATTAAGTCCCGCTAATTGTCTCTACCCTACTTTGATAACTGGAATGTTGATGTTGGTACCTTATTATAATAATTGCTTGCATGCTACTACACTGGGCAGTAGTTGAACACACTTTTCTCTAATAAAATCAAGGTTGAGTGAAGTAAAAAAGTAGCTTTACGCGTTAATTCGTTAATTAAACTAGATTAATGTATCGAGATCTGTAAATTAATTGAATTAACTGTAAGAGTAATTTTTAACGCTTAATTAATCACTAGAATACATGACGCGCTCTAATTTCGGAACAATCAAGTAAAGTACCTCATCAAAATTCAAAAGTTGTAACATTTAAACGTATTATGTCATCTGTTTGACAGATGTGTTTTTTTTCTTTTTTTAGAAAATCACCATTTATCATAGTACACGAATGTTGAATATTCGAACAACTTTCTCCTTTATCGTTTAATTATACGCAATTTTAGAATGTAAAATAAACGTACTTTTTCCTAATTTGAATTTATTTACACATAAAATCTTTTATCGTTTGTTGTTATATGCGTCGATCGTGTGCCGTACTTCCTTTTGCAAATGTCAATTCGACTCGGAACATCGTCATAAAATTTGATATTTGTTGATTTAAAAATTTTCCATGTGGTTTTTGGCGAGATTTGCGTCACATCCGTCTTGCCCAAACTGGGAGTAATTAGCGTAATATGGCAATATTTGTTATCGAATTAGTAAATGTAATTTTTTGCACTTGTTCGGTAACGTCGTGACCAGTTTGTCTCTTATGCAATGACAGTAATTTATCGAAACTTTCTATGATTTCAAGCAATGTCGCCGAATCCCCACAATAATTAATTTAGTTTCGGCTCAAATTAGAAAAAACAGACAATTGACGCCATTTGAATGTTTTTCATCCGTATGCGGCTAATTTTGAAACAAATTAGTGAATTAGGCGGGCGGAAATTGCCGCAAATAATCGAGGTCGCTCAAACCGTACAATATATTTAATTTCTTTTACATTTAAAAAATGTAAGTCTTTTCGATTTCTCGAAGGGAACGAAAGGGGGACGAAAGTATTCGAAAAACATCTGCTTTTCGTTCGGTCACCACACGCCACACATGCGTTAGGGCCGCCACCTGCCGGTACCTCCCTTACACCTCGCCACCCCTGGGGGTTGGATCACGTGAAAGACGGACACGTGCATCGTGTCGGTTTTAAGATATATGTACCTTCTTGAAATGTTCCAAATCTAAACTATAACGAAGGAAATTCAACATCCTTTACCCTCTACATTAAGCATCGACATTGTTTCCTGTGTGATTATCTCGGATGATAAAAAATTGAATGTATAATTTTGGTAAATGTCGTTTCCTGGATGCCTGCAATCAAGGCTAGTAGTTGGATGTCGAAAAAAAGATATGTGCTATTGTTAAATTCTGACAGCCAGTTTATTTCCCATGGTATATTGTCGCATTATTTCTAGTTTGAAGCCTCGGCACGATTAACCTTATGACTAATCTAATAATGTCAATGAATTTCTACCAATTGGTCAAAATGAATTCAGGTTTTATAAGTTATGTCACGTTCATTGCTTAAAATTTAATAGTTTCTCTGATGATGAAACACATGATGCCCGATTTACCAAATGCGCCAGCTGCTCTTCTTCGACCTTATTTTTTTCCTTTATGGGTTCATCTGGCTACCTGTGATTTAGGAACCATTTACCATCTTGATTTCAGTTTGCCAGCTGCCTTCTTAGGGTGTACAACACTCGAGAAACTGCTGCAGTTCATTTATGTTTATTTTGTTTCGGTGCATGTGTTTGCGAGATGATTATTTGCATATCGGGCTTTTTGGTGGGAAAGTAAGAATTTTATTTGTTTTTACACTAATTAATTTTTATTTATTGATAACGCGATTTTTTTACATTAAATTATGCATAAATGAGCAATTACACTCATCCTGTAGATAATACAAAAACAATCCATCGGATTTAATTAAAATATTTAAATTGATCAACCCCGGTACATGCCTCATAAGAATTTTAAAATAGAAACTTTACGGTTCAAGGATTTCCGACAAGTTGGGAAATCAAAGCAAATACGCACATACATTTAAAAATTTCTTGAAAAACTCGGGCTGTTTTATTCATAAGGATAGAATCATCCTGCGTGTCCTATTAAAAATTATAAATCTGTAATTAGCCCTTGACCCCTCCCCCCCAGACTTTAATTAATTAATTACGTCTTGAAACTTAATCAGTTTTATATTTTTATTAACGTAATGTTTTTCTATGAATTTGGATTTTACGTAAAGGGGCGTTTTGTAATGTGATAGTTGACTGTTCATTAGTTAAATGCTTAATTGCGTTTTTATGTATCGTTAAAGTAGTTGCCTCAACATTGGTGTGGTGCTAGGTAAAGAAATGTAAAATTTCTCTTGTTTTATTTTAATGACATTTCATTTTATCTGGTTTACTGTGTTTTTAATAGTTGTGACATTAAAATGGTTTTTGTTGCTTTGCGTGGCAACAGGTCAATAAAAGAAAGTTCACAATTCAATTTTTCAAGGTTGTAAAACAATAATTTAGGTTTTTGTTGTTATTTTTGGTATCGTTTTTATTTCAGCTTTCCACCGAAAATGGAAAGGTCTCAGATAGTGAATTCAATGGGTTCATCTGATCAGTTTCAAGAACAGACTTATATTCAAGCTCCCAGTTTTGTCCAAGCTCAAAACTACAGTACTCCAACCCCCAGTCCTATATATTCTCGTGCCTCCCCTAACAACTCGACGTACGTGAATGTATCCCAGCCTCTTCATAAGAAGGGTTCTTTACGGAACGGAGATGTCTTGAAAAGGTCGAGGGTTCAGACAACGTAAGTACACTTCACTGTCATATAAGAGAATACTGATTCGTGCAAATTTAGATACGAGCTGTCGCAAGACATTCTCGACAAACAAATCGAAGTGTTGGAACGAAAATATGGCGGTGTTAAAGCGCGAAATGCAGCTCTTACAATTCAACGAGCGTTCAGACGATATACTCTACTTAAAAAATTCGCAGCAATTACAGCAATGGCCAAAGCCGAGAAACGTATTAGTCGCCGAATTCCTGCAAATTCCGAAGACTGTCGTAGCACAATAGGTGAGACTGAACAATGTCCTGAATATATGAGGAATTATGAAGGACACGACTGTTCCAATATGAGAGTTCTTCCAGTTAGATCGATGTCTTTACGCGAGAGACGTAATATTGACAATATGCCAATACCTAGGAGTCAGTCGGGGACTCCTACAGTGTGTTGGGAGAATTATTCCTCATCCTCTCTTCAACACTATTATTCACCCGCTGACTCCAAATCGGATTCGATAGGTACCCAAGTGACTGCAAGTCCCAGTTCTTGTAGTACACCTACAACTTCCACAAACGGCTACGCTCGCAGTCGCCACAGTCTGAACAGTAGAAAAGTACCACCAGAAGTACCTAAGCGAACCTCAAGTATTACCTCTCGATCGGTCGGAGATCCCCGACACCACAAAAGCAATGGTTTGACTAAAACAAACGAAAATGGTTCGTTATCAAGTGTCCAAAGTTCCGGTAGTGACAGTAGTATATCGACTGAACGCGTGCAATGTGAATTTTCCGGATCGCCAGTCTGGAAGCGTAAAGGAAATCACATTTCGGAATATGCCGAACCGGCCTTAGAGACTAGTTTAGGGAATATTTCTAACACTAGCGCATCCACCTACACACTGGAGAGAGCCAATGAGCAACAAGCACCTGCCAGCTATAAAATAACCGAGACTATAAGAAAACGACAATACAGAGTAGGACTTAACTTATTTAACAAAAAACCAGAACGAGGTATTGCATATTTAATCCGACGAGGGTTCTTAGAGAACTCACCGCAAGGCGTCGCCAGATTTCTTATTTCAAGAAAAGGACTGAGTAAACAAATGATCGGAGAGTATTTAGGGAATTTGCAAAATCCGTTTTGTATGGCTGTTTTGGAATGCTTCGCTAATGAATTAGATTTGTCGGGAATGCAAGTCGATGTTGCACTTAGGAAGTTTCAGCAACATTTCCGAATGCCAGGAGAAGCACAAAAGATTGAAAGACTTATGGAGGTGTTTTCGCATAGATATTGCCAATGCAATGTCGATCTCGTCGCACGGTTAAGATCGCCAGATACGGTAAGTGACATAAAAACAAATGACGGATTTAAAATCTCAATGACATGCTATTTTTGCGTCGGTAATTTTGATGTAATCACTTTTTCAATAAAATAGGAAGACTGTTATTTCAGTAAATAAGAAAGTTATTCATGGGAAATATCTCTATTGATTAAACTTGACAAAGAAAGTAATTATGTGTTAAGTAATCAAATTAAAGGAAGTGTTATTTACAGATTTTTGTCCTCGCATTTGCAATAATAATGCTGAACACTGACCTCCACACCCCGAATATAAAACCCGAACGTCGGATGAAACTAGAAGACTTCATAAAAAATTTACGAGGTATCGACGATTGTGGTGATATTGATAGTGATATGTTGACTGGGGTTTACGAGCGTGTCAAAGCAAACGAATTTAAGCCAGGTTCAGATCATGTGACTCAAGTAATGAAAGTTCAAGCAACGATCGTTGGTAAAAAACCAAATATGGCGTTACCACATCGCCGATTAGTATGTTATTGTCGTTTATATGAAATCCCTGATATTTATAAGAAAGAAAGACCTGGTGTACACCAGAGAGAAGTGTTCCTTTTTAACGATTTGCTCGTAATTACGAAAATTTTAAGTAAGAAGAAATCTTCAGTTACATATACATTCAGGAATAGTTTCCCTCTATGTGGGATGACTGTTACTCTTTTCGAAGCTGCCCGTAAGTTATTTAACTTATATTTTGTGTTTTGTTGACACTCTTATTTTCTCTGCAGATTACCCTTACGGTATACGTCTGAGCCAACGTGTAGATGGCAAAGTATTGGTCACATTTAACGCACGAAATGAGCATGATAGGTGCAAATTTGCGGAGGATTTAAAGGAGGCTGTAAGCGAGATGGACGAAATGGAAAATTTGAGGATTGAGGCTGAGCTCGAGCGACAAAAGTCGAACCGAGGGACTAGGACGGGTATGCTGTGCAAGGCGCTTCTCCTAGACCTATTGTTATTGTTTCTTTTGGCACAGGTACCGAAAATCGGGACAGTGGCGTCGCGGATGTGGAAGTGTGTCCTTATCAGTGTCCCTGCTCTCAGAACCAAGCGCTAGGAGGGTCGGAATGTGCCGAAGAAGTCGGTCACGATACCCAAATCAAGCGTTCGGCTCTCAGTAACTCGTTGCTGGATATCCACGAACAGTGTAGGTTGTTTCGGTCGAATTATTGACGTTATTAGTAATATTGTCAGTGTAGTTGCAGGAGAAAAGGCACAGCGCCGAGGTAGTGTGGGCTCGTTAGATAGCGGCATGTCTGTATCATTCCAATCGACGTCGGCTAGTACTTGCTCCCGGTCTGACAAGCTCGCTAATAAAGGTAAGCCGGGTCTGCATAACCATCAGTCATTCCTAGGCGGCCTGTTTAATAAGAAACAACAGAACAATGTGGCCGTGAAGTCGACCGAAGTGTAAAAAAATCCAAATATATAAGTGTAATCGGTTCTTTTTCAAATTTAACTTGTGCATGTTATGAATAACCAAATACATTTTCACCATTTATAAGTGTTACCAAATATATTAATTATGGCTGTCTAATTTCGCCCCAGTGCGTAATACTTAATTTTTTGTTATTATTATTTTTTAATTTCTTCTTGTTAATAGAAGAGGCAAACTTAATGTTTTTTTCTTTACCATTATATTATATTCATTCGCTATTTTGACAGCTGTTCAACATTAAGGTTGCCTTAAATCGGCTCTCTGTCTTCATTGGCATTGAACATATTGATAATTGTCTTCTAATGTTGCCTGTAAAGGATTTGTATATAGTTAAATTATTAAAGAGAGCAACATGTTCTAGTCGATTGTAAATATGTTAGCAATCTCTACTAATGATATTAAATAATTTAAATGTATGTAATAAGTGTTTTTTTAATAACCAATAAATAGTCGAACCTTTAGCTGCTTTTTCCTTTCCACCAATTGGTAAAACATATGACACGAAGCAACGATAATAACTTACATCATTATTACGTAAACATCGACCACACGTCAGTGCAAAAACACATTAAAAAATACTTAATGCAATTAGCACAAATCTCACAAACGCTAAGCCTTAATATGAAAGTAGAGACGGTAGTTTAAAAAACACCATAAATATGGTAATTTTAAATTTGTTTAAAATTCTTTTGTTTCATGTATTGGATTTTTACCACAAGAGTAAGATGTTTTGTGAATAAAACACTTTCCAATATATAAAGTTTTATTAAAATTAGTAGTTGATTACAGATAAAAAGTTCGAATATAAAACGCTAAAAGTATATGTACAAGCTCGTTGGCACTATTAGTTATAACAAGTAAAAAATAAAATCTTATCCCTAAGCTATGATAAAAAGGCAGTGAAAGCTACATATTTACATGTCATTAATTACACTGTTTGTAATAATGTACTCTCTCCTGTATTTTTTGATTGTAGCCGTTCATTCGCCTTATCAAATCTTGCAATATATTTTCCAAATTAGTTAAAGTCGCTTGTTGGGAACTGTTCTCCAATTTACTAATTTCTTCTTCAGTACTTGTTACTTTAGCAACAAGTTCCCACGCACGCTTAAAAAGATCATTAGCGCGATCTTTCGACGACTGAACTTTGTCTAAACTCGTTGTTAAATTACGCTGGACTTTAGAATACTGTGCCTGAAGTTCATTAAAGTCATCATAAGTTGTTCGAGCTTTCTCTAAAATGTTTGACGATTCGTTTACGACACGATTGGCGTAAATTCCATTATCAGTTATATTTCTTTGAAGCTGATTAAGTTGTTCTTCGAGTCTTTTGAGATCGTCGGCTGTACTGTTTGTCTTTTTTTGGGCCGACTGTGTTTTTACACCAATCTAAAAAAAAAAAACAAATGCATTTTTGGTTATATATAATTAATTACGGACCTGTTTTAACCGATCGTTTACAATGTTTATGTCATTCCAGGCTGTATCAATTGCACTTTGTGCAGTATCTTGCGCTATTGTTGTATTTTCTAAAGTACTAGTCACGTCGGCGGCATCAGTCAATATTTTTGACGCATTCGTTCTACAAAAAAATAAAACAAATAACAGTTAAAATGTTTGTTAATAGAATAGAGACAAACTTGGCATATTCAGCGTTTTCTCTAAGTCTGTTAACTCTCCGTAAATCATCTTTGGTAGCTTCAATAATCGGGTCAATATCAGTCAAGTGTTGAACAGCTTCTTTGATTTTATTAGCCATATTTGTGATTTCATCCGGCTCGAGCTCTATTTTCATGGCTAAAATCTGTTGCGTGAAATTTTTTATATCTTCTTTTGTGTCATTGCGGTCCATAAACTCATTAACTTCTTTCATTAAATTCAAAACATTATTCAGCGAGTCATTAGCTTTCATTAAACTTCCCTTGGCTTTATCGTACGTCTCTTGTGCGATATTCCTCGTCTCATTTGTGTTTATTTGAGATACCTAAAACCAAAATTTGAAACGAGAAAACTCAGGGGGGATAAATTACATTTCGAATAAAATCATTAGCCATGGCTTCCTTCTCACGGAGGGCCATTTCCGTCCGATTTGCTATAGCTAGCGCGGTTTCAGCCTGTTGTTTAGCCCCATTTTCGCACGAAATTGAGACACCACAAGTGGCACAACCTGCACCGCCACACAATGAGTCACAAGGGTCGCCTCTGCCGTCGCAAATAAGTTCGTTCAAATCCGGAAGTGTTTGTTTAAGACTGTCAAGCTTGTCATTTAAGTCGATGAGTTTCTTTTCGTTGTTTTTCAATTGTTGATTGAAGTTATTTGCAGTTTCGTTAATCGTGCTTTCGGTTGCTTTAATCTGACGTTCGGCATAATTTATAGTTTCCTAAAAACAAATCATTTGTTATCTGATGAAGTGCGAAAGTCGTCACGTTGTACTTCAGTCCTCTCCGCTTTGTGTGCGGCAAGATCAGCTTTGACTTTGGCATTTTGGATCAAAGTAAGAGCCCCCTGAACGTTGGCTTCTTGTAGTTGCGTACCGTTCATCTCCAATTCTTTCGTTTTATTTTTAAAGTCGTCTATTCTTTGTTTCAAACTTTTTAGTTTTAAGTCGGTGAGTAACATATTTTCTTTGGTTGTTGCGATTGAATCGTCAAGTTCTTTGACACTTCCAAGTTCAGTCTCGTTGATTTTTGTACGTAAACTTTGCAATTCCTTATCAATGGCATCAGTATCGACTTCGTGAGTGTTACTTAACAGTTGTTTTATTTCATCAAGTTGGAATTGCATATCGTCGAATTCTTTGGTGTAAGCTCCAGTTGCTCCAACTTTCTTGATATCGCCGGCACGGTTAATCAGATCCATAGTTTGGTCTAAAATTTTGACAATTGGCACTCATGGTTGTCTTTTATTACAATTACTTACTTCGCGTTTCTTGCAAAATCCGGTCCCAATTATCGAAACATTCCCCACAAGGGATACATTCAGGTGCTTGTCCTAAATAGCCTCGATCACACCTGTCACAATTATACCCGCCTATCCCTGGTAAACATTTACAAGCACCAGTCCTCATGTCACACTGCAAAGACCTAGACCCTCTTGCGTCACATTTACATTCTAAAAAACCCAATTATCACAAAATTAAAAAATTCGTGATCACAAACCGCGACACTCAACTTTCGGGTCTCCCCAGAATCTAGCCACACATTCGTTACATTGTCTGCCACCAAAACCTGGCCGACATTCGCATTGTCCATCGAACTGAAATAAAATTATTAAAGCAAGTCGCTTGGTATTGTGATATTTACCAAGTTGCACTGTGGTCGTAGTGAGCCTTGAGAATCACAATTGCAAGGTTCACAACCTTCCCCACTTGCAATTTTCCAATGGTTGGCGATACATTGGTCACAATTTAATCCGGTCACGTTAGGAAGACATACGCATTGACCGGAAGAAGGGTCACAAGGACCGGCTGAACTGTTAGTGCCCAGTGGGTGACAGACACACTCTAATCACAAAGTTATCACAAATCAAAATTTGTGGCCTGACTTACCTTCACACATCATATCATCGGAATATCGGAAAAAGCCGGGCCTACACACTTCACAGTGGTCTCCTGTCGTATCATACAAACATTGCTTACATTTACCGGTGTGTGGGTCACAATTTCCCGGTTTGAGAATATCAATTTTATCATTGCAATCACACGGTTGGCATGAGCCTCCCGGTTCTTCCGGATTCCCGAAATAATTATCGGAACAGACGTCACAACGTGACCCTGAGTACCCCACGTGACACTCACAAATCACATCTTTGGTGCTCGACTCCAAACTACATCTATCAGCGTACGAATGATTGGACCAGGGGCTTCCCGGACAAGGACAGGGCCGGCATGGAATATCCACATTAAGTCTGGGGTCTCCGTAAAATCCATCTACGCACTGATCACAGTTGTGCCCTTCTGTGTTATCCTTGCAATTAATACAAGCCCCTGTTTTGGAATCACAGATATCGGCATGGCCGTTACAGTCACATCTCTGACAGTTAGGGAAATTCCAAAAGCCGGTCCTGCACTGGTCGCACTCGCGTCCGTATGTGTTTGCGCGGCACTTGCATTGACCAGTGGTGGCATTACAGAAATTGTCAAGGGCCCCAATGCTATTGCAGTCGCATGATTTGCAACCCTCGGGCCCGAATCCGTAAGTCCCGGGGGCGCACTGGTCGCATCGGCGACCCACCACGTTCAATTTGCAAGTGCAGTGGCCCCCATATTCGTCGCAGAGTTTGCTAAGAGACCCAGTCGGATCGCATTGACAAGCTGAAACACAAGAGTCAGAATTGTGGTTTCAAGTGAGTCGGGGGAGTACAGAATGCGCCATTGAAGATGTATGCGCCAATACTGCTGTAGTACTTTTTGCAAACTTCAGGGATTTGCCCGGTGTGGATTAGATAAGAGGAGTAGGAGCTGCAGCGGCTGCGTTCGAATTCTTGGCGCCGCGCTTCGGCTGGGACCGAGCCGTAGAACCAGGGGATTTTCTCAATACGGGGGATTAACACGACCTAGAACAAACGTCAAGTCGGGGCTAGACTGGGGTTGAGATATTTTACCGAGTCTATTAAAACTGAAGCTGAGGGTGTCTCGCGTTCGAAGTTAGATCGGCGGAAAGTTAGACGGATCTTATATGTTCGGCCGGCTTCCAGACATACAGGGGGGTACACTGTGACGCTTCTGCTGTTTGAAGGAAGAGCGACTCTTCTAGGGTCATCTCGTGCGCCATTACATGGACCATTTGGATCGACTGGACCTGGCCGTTCAAGAGTCACTTCGACCTCTTCCCAATTTGTGGGCATTGTGGGTTCGTAACGAATCACAATTTCGTAATCCATGCCCGTCTTAATGTTATCCACAGTAAACTCAATGTATGACGGTTCGAAAGCCTTCATAAATCCGATTCCAGTCCACGTGACATCAGATCCGTCTCTTGGAGGCTCCCTTATTACGACTTGACAGTTCTAAAAAAATATTAAGTGAGAATCAAAGCTAATGTCGTCGGAAGTCATACAGGTGACGCTCTTGCAGACTCGGCTTCATACAGTAGGAAGTCCAAACTTGCAGTGTAGTGTTGCTGTTTGGGGGTACCACACGTTCTACCGGTCATATGTTCTCGGCAAAGACACTGCCCACTGATAACATCACAATTATTATCAAACGAACCTCCAGGGTCGCAATCACAAGGCTGACAGCCATCTCGTTTTTCCGAAAGGCCCCAATACTCGGGAAGACATTGGTTGCAATCGCGTCCAGTCACATACCGCTTACAAGTACACTCCCCGTTGTATACATTACAACCCTGATTGTCAATTGTTCCAAAAGTATTGCAAGTGCAACTTTGACAGCCATCTGGATTATTTTCCGTGAAGTTCCAAAAACCGTTCTTGCAAATATCGCAACGACGACCTTCTACATTAGTCTTGCAGTGACAGCTCCCTGCTACAAGATTATTCTCAGCATCGGTGATAGAGTCACAAATGCCGTTATCAAGTGATCCGCGAGGGTCACAATCACAGGCTAAAAATTCACTTTAGAATCAAAACAACTGAAGTCTGGTGACTTACGTCGACACACTTCGGGATCTTGGATGTCTCGCTGCGGATCTCTGTAATAGAAAGGTTTGCATTGTTCGCAATTTGGGCCCATGGTGTTGTGCTGGCACCCATCGCAAACGCCACCACTGATACGACCAGTGGCTTCGTATAGAGCGGCATCAAAATGGCAACTAGTTGCATGGTTGTTGCAGTTACATTCTGGAAAAAAATGTTACTTAAGTAGTAGCTAATGTTTATACCCACTTTTGCAAGCGTTGGTCTGTTTGCCAATGGCAGGTCGCCAGGGCAAGTCATTGAAAAAGTCTTCACACTTTTCGCAATTGCGTCCTTTAGTGTTGTGTGTGCACTCGCAACGGCCGTGTACCATATCGGGCTTGGGTTCAATCCCCGGCAATGGTAGGCATCTATTAGCGTGTCCGTAGCACGAACAGGAACCACGAACCACCATATCGGTGATGGCGTAGTAGTACTTCTCTTGAATGTCCTCACGTTTGTCAAGGAGGTCATCACCCAGAGTGTGTAGTTTGGTGAAATTGATCCGTAAATTAGTCATTTTAAGCAGATTTTGAACTTGTTCCGAGTAAGGATTGTCAATGTGGAGGGTTGGAGGTAGAACTCTGTAAATCACTTCACCATCCGTTGAAGGGTCTATCGACGAATACCGCGATTCGCACACAACATCTGTCAAGTTTACAGGATATCCTTCTCTAATATGGGGGAAGCTTTCAGCACAATTGTAGGCAAAGTAGCGATAGACCTAGAACAAGGTTTGTATTTATGTCACTAGTGTCTCAGTTCAGTTGTTCTCACATGCCACGTCTGTTTGAAATCGTACGAACGCTCGATTAACATAGCCGCGGGTCTAAAAGTCTTAAAAGTGATAATAAGATGAGTAAAATGAAACTCAGCTTCTAGATCCAATTGAATGTAGACACCCTCTTTGCCATTTTCGGACTGCCACCATGACTTCTGCCGTGTTCTAGAAACCGGCACTAGATCCAAATCCCAGAGAAAATTACCCCAAACTTACCCAGGATACATCCTGTAGACAATATTGCTAATATTATGATTGAATAAAGGATTCGGTTTATTAGTTGGTCTCGAATCACATCTGAAACACTTCTTCCTTTCTTCCAAATGCGACACAATACAGTATCTTTGTGGCCCGTGAAGTCCACAAGTCGAAGACGAGTACAACTGATGTTCCCGACCTATTAGTAGATTTCCAGTGGCCGGATAGCACGAACTCTGCTCACAAGGATGTAGCTTGACCGGCACATACCCTACACAGTAGCAAAACTGAAGAACGTGAAGACTGTTTTTAGAGGTAGTTAGTTGGTTATAACCGACACCAAAATCGACACACTGTTACGAGCTTTGCGAATTAGTATAAAGCCCACACCTCCAAGTCGGTATTTTATTTCACCCACCATGATTATGAGTGTATGGTCGACGATTGAAGACATCTGTCAAGGGATGAAGAACGTCGCCATCGGGGTATTCGCTATCTATATCAGGCGGTTGGTCACCCCTTTTTACTGATGCTAATTAAACAAAAGGCTGCATTTTTAAGAAAGAGGCCAACAAAAAAGGGACTCAATTTGGTGTTTTACTATCTCAGGGGAAGTTTATGACTCGCTATTATTCTATTTATAACGAAACGTGATTGGAATTACAACAATCAAAATAGAGGAAAGAAATTTTACAGTCTTTCAGAAGTACACAAATAGGTATTCGATACTAAAATAAATTAGTATGACGTCTGGAGATTGTAAATATATAGTATTTATCGACTTTAACCAAATTCAGTCCCACACAATTCCAACAGCAAATTTTAATTTTGTATTCTATTTGACTTGTGTTTAACAACAAAAATAAAACAAATTCACATGTCCATTAAGTATGTAATTGTAAAATAAATTAGCTTTTTTGATTATTAACAATGGTTGCGTAATTTGTATGTATGTCAATAATTTTGCTTGTTGCTTTTTCTGAAAATTTGGCTAAATATCACTTCTATGAAAATTCTTTGTATTGCATCTTATCAAGAAAGGAAATACAAATCGAAGTAAAAATTATTTTGAATGCATTAATCGATCTTTAATTATTTATTGTTATATTGGAGTGAATGAATTTCAATATGAAAACAATAAATAAGAAAACTGAAAAAATCGATAAAAATGTAAACTTGTATAGTGCTAACGAAATTACGATTTTGTAATCAATGAGATAATGATTAGCAACGTTGGCGTCCTATATTATTTAAACATCGAAGTTAGTTTTGTAACGATAAAAGCTAAAAAATATTTTTATAAACAAAAATAGCACACACTTGTTTATATTTAACATTGAAAGCAGTAATAATAATAATCAATTGCAACTAATTACCTCCGGAAGGGTTTCCTCTTATCCGAGAGAATGATTGATGACCAAATACTTGTAAATCTGGAAGGCACTAATAAAAAAAAATATTTAAGGGCAGCTTATACGTACTATTTTGTACTACTTGGAATAAAATTAAGGCTAAAAGAGTCCATATATCCGAATTTGGGCGGACCATGGTTGGAGACAGATGATCAAGAAGCCCTAAAGAAATTTCAATTTAATAAACAAACAGAAAATACCTAAGTTGTCGCACTAATCTAGACTTAATGTCTTTAAGATAAGTCACGACAACTGAAAGCAAGACGAAGAACAATTAGATCTATTGTGTGGCATGAGCCTGAAATGTAAACAATTAATTTGTGATGGAAATGTTGGAACAGCGAATAGTTGGTGTGTCTGTTAAAAAAGTGTCGAAAATAGATGAAGATGAGTTCATTCATCAGCAATAAATATGATGAATGAGATCACTGCTCGTGATATGTTGCAGACCTATTAGGGTAATTAGAGTTAGAGTAGAGGCTGGTGGTCCATGCCATGCGGGTTGTTTACCTCAATGTTTACCTGAAAACACGTGCACATCGACGAAAATAACCGCGACCGTCGAATCACATCTCACTAAAGGCTTTAATGAAAACTGCAAATTTCGAGAACATCACGGGAACTCGCGTTACGAGGGCGACGGCCGCTGCACTATGCCTTCTGTGTTCTTTCAGCGGCTGGATTTATGGCCTCGAACTCGAACACTTTTTAAACATGCACAAGGACTTACCAGTCGGGAAGTCGGCCGTCTGTCCTCTCTTGAGCCTGGGGCGTCCTCCTCCTCGCTACCTCCCTACACACCGAGATATTCTTACTACAAATTAAAACTGAAGCAAAGTGCGTGGCTCAGCCTTACTGGTAATTTGAGTTAAAGAAAACATGTGTTGTACACTTGTGAACAGATGAATGGGATGGCGGCGCGCAAAAGATGCTGCCTCAGTTCTCGGATACTTATCACAACAATTTCGGCCAGTGAAACAATTTTTAAGGACACTGACTTCTATGATTGATCTTCGACACTCTTATCTACCCAGAATTACTAATTTGTTACACACTCTAAGCAAGACACGCTACGAATGTACCATAATCTAATTTTTATCGTTTCCGAACACCGACAACTTCCTAACGCGTAGGAGATGATAATTCACATCCGGAACATCCATCCCATACATTATTCAAATCTTTTTGCCAATAAAAATAAATCATGGCTACGATACAAGCGCGCGTCTAATTTTATTTAAATTTCAAATTCTCGCGCTTCAGAGAAACAAAAGCACGCATGCGCGCATAAGCTCAGTTGCACATTCTATTGTTTTTCCACTTGTATTACATTTAAATCATTATTTTTGTTACTAATAAATAGAAATGGGTTAATTAAGTGTTGAGGGTTATTTAGAAGACAGATTTTTATTAAAAGGAGCAATTCAACAGCTTTATTACCCTGTTATGAGCAAAGAGTCAGCGCTCCACTGTAACCATTCAGATTTTTTCCACAAAATTAAGCGCCAATTTTAAATATGCTACTCCTCAATCGTTTTACAGCCATTTCACGAAAATTGCACTCAGTTTTTCAAACAAAAGTGGCTTTCCATCTCTCACACCGACTAAGAGGAGAAGATAATGATTTATCTGACGAAATTTTAAACGAAGACAGGTAAAAAAAAATGTTACTGACAACAGTTTACACTAATTTTACAGAGAGTTTTTGGCGTTTTCCGAAAATTATTTAAAATTTGAAGCTGGGAGAAATTGTTACATTATTCAACCGTACATCAAGTGGGGCCCTCAAAAACTCCAAGGAATCACCCCAAATGAACAATTAGATGAAGCGAAGGCTTTGATCAACACTCTCCCTTCTTGGAATATACAAGACACAATTTCTGTTCCTTTAGAATCATTTGAGAAAAAAACTCTTTTCAAATCAGGTTCTTTGGAAAAGCTGCGTCAAATCATACGCAGAAATTCAAGCATCAACGCTGTTTTCATTAATTTAGGGACCCTCAAAAAAGCTCAAATCTTCTCGTTGGAAAAAGAGTTTGGGGTCCCGATTTTAGACCGTTATAAAGTCGTCATGTACATATTAAAACTTCACGCTGTTTCGAAACACGCCAAACTCCAAGTTGCTTTAGCTGAACTTTATTATTTACAACGATCTACATTTCATGAAGGCAATTTTGGTAAAGCTGAACGTGAGAAAGTCAGACTTATGTTTCAAACACGTGAACAAAAATTAAAAAATGCTATTAAGGAACTTCGGACAGAAAGGGCTTTATTGAGAAATAAAAGACAAAAAATTGATTTTCCTGTAATTGCCGTTGTTGGGTACACAAATGCGGGAAAAACTTCCCTCATTAAAGCATTAACAGGGGAAGAGGGTCTTAAGCCCAAAAATCAGCTATTTGCGACTTTGGATGTTACACTTCATGCGGGGTTGTTGCCATCAGGGATGAAAGTTTTATACGTAGATACTGTTGGATTTATTTCGGATATTCCCACAAATTTAATTGAATGTTTTGTCGCTACTCTTGAGGATGCAGTCTTGGCGGTATGTATAAGATGATTTAAAAAATGGCATAACTTAATTCATATGTTAGGACGTGATTTTACACGTTGAGGATATATCAAGTTCATTTTTTGAATTCAAAAGGAAACATGTTTTGGAGACTTTGCAAGATCTAGCTACCAATGCTGGTACCGGAGACGTTTTAAATAAAGTCATTAGTGTAGGAAATAAATGTGATTTAGTACCAAAAGAATCCGATTTTGGACTTTTAAAAGTATCATCTAAAAATGACACTGGTATATAATAAACTATTTTATAATATTAAATCCATAGAAATTTTTCTAGGCCTAGATATCCTTAGAATGATATTGGAAAAGACTATTCTGCAAAATACCAATCGGAAAAAAATTAAAATTCGAGTTCCTGTTGGCGGTGACGCAATTAGGTGGGTGCTCATGTTGTTTTTCTTTCTTGTTAACCTTTGATTTCTCCTCAGATGGTTGTATAAAAATTCAACTGTAATTTCCGAATGCCCTGACGAAAAAAACCTGGAATTTGTGATCGCTGAGGTGATAATAACTAATGGGAAATTGGAGCAATTCAAGCACAAATTTTCGTCATAATTTTATTAAACAATCAATAATTAAGGAAATAAACAATCAAATTCTGATATTATGCACTGTTTCTATAAACGTCTGCAATGACTCTATGGGCGCATCAGGATATATTCCATGTCCCAAGTTAACAATATATCTTTGGCCTCCAAATTCTTCCACCATTTTGTGCACAAGTCTGATTAATTCTTCTTTGGGTGCGTAGAGAGCACAAGGATCTAAATTTCCCTGTACTGTCACATTTTTTCCCTTCAATAAAGTTCTTACAACTTGAGGTTCTAGAGTCCAGTCAACTCCTAGAACTTCATAGCCTAAATCTGCTTGTTCTGGTAAACAATAATGGGCACCTTTGGCAAATAAAACCTAGAAGTTTATTTTAGTATACTGTCAATACTAAAAGTGTTACTTTACCATAGGAACTTGTTCTAGTTTCTTTACGTCAAGTTTTAAACGCACCGAGTCCCTGATTTTCTTCAAGTATGGGAGACAAAATTTTGTGTAAAGTTCTTTATTTAAAAGGTCAGCATTGCTGTCGAAAATTTGTAAAATTTGAGCACCTGCTTCTACTTGCATTACAAGATAATCAATGATCACCTCTGTCAGTAACTCAAGTAGTTTATGTGCGATTTTTGGGTGAGCGTATAACCATTTTTTGGCCTTGCTTAACGTTTTGGAACCACCACCTTCAATCATGTACCCCATTAGAGTCCACTGGAAATGATTTATGAAAACATAAAGAAGCTTAGATTTTTACAATTTACTGGAGCTCCTGAGAAACCAAATAGTGGCACTTTGCCTTCCAATTTATGCCTAGTCAAAGTAATAGCTTCCCCTACATACTTCAGTCTATCAACAGCACCAGTTTTGTTCAATTCGTGGAAGTTTTCCAAAGTTAGCGGCTCCGGTAACACCGGACCCTTAAATAAGGAATCAGATAAATGGTAAAAAAACAATACGTTACTTACAATTCCCGCTTTCATCTCAACAACCATACCCAAAGCCTGTGGAATAACTAAAATGTCGCTAAAAATAATCGCAGCATCTAAATCATAACGTCTTATTGGCATCAAGGTAACTTCACAGGCAAGTTGTGGTGTTTGACATATTTCAAAAAACGAATGGTCTTTACGGAACTCCATAAATTCTGCAAATTATTTTTTTTTAATTATAAAGTTCAAAAATTCAAGGGGCGAACCAGGTAAGTAACGTCCGGCTTGTCTCATAACCCATATTGGGAGTTTATCAGGAACTTCACCCCTTGCAGCTCTTAAGAGCCGATCATTCTTCAAATTGGGGAATGCAGACATGATTTGAAGCAATTTAATAAACACTTTCTTTCAAAACATTACAAAACAGCAACATTTAATTTGAAATGTCACGATGACATAACCTAAATGTGCCAAACTGCGAAATCGGATATCAGCGAACGAATTTGTGTATAATGTGTTGCCTATAATAAATAGTAAATATTTTTATTAAAAAATGTTCATGTTTCGTGAATTAATTGTGTTTTACAATATCAAATTGAAATTTTTGAAAACAGATTTTCGATACTTGCAATAAATGTTTCTTATACTACATAAAGATGGGCCAGCATTTTTGCCTGGATCGGCTAAATGGTTATTAGTTTCCATTTGTGGCGCCTTCCTTGCCGTTCTCACCACTAATTCAGTCTTATATTTTATCTAAAGAATGTCACCGGAAATACTAAATTATATTTACTTAACTTAATCACTGCAAACAAATATATTTAACGATCGCAAATAAAAGAAAAATATTTAAGGAATTCGTATATGAGCTTAAAAATGACGTAGAGGAATATTTTCTTGAGTTAGATAATTTATAGAAATCGCGGGCAACCTTGAATTATGATATATAGGTTTGCTTAAACCATATGACTTTTAAAATGATTTGATAAGAGGAGATGCTAGTTTTTATCGTCCCAACCATCGCACAGGTGTCTCCTTATCAGGAAATTCCGTAAGCACTTTTCTTTTTATATTATTCGCGTAATGAAATCATTGACCTATTTGCTTCCTCGTGTGCAAAGATCAAGATTTAATTTGTTGGAAGAAAATAAACACAAATTAAGTACTTATTTTATTTAAATACAAATAATTTACATCACAACAGTGTATAGTAATCACTACTATAAAGGCAGATGCTCTCAGAGCAAAGTAATAAATTAAGTATAAAAGTATTAAGTAATTTGGCAAGAAAAACTAATAAATACAAGTCTCTCGATTCGTTTTCTTACATAAAACTTTTAAGTATATATACAATTATGCACAATGACGTCGATTTAATAACGATGGCTGAACTTGCATTGTCATTATTCTTTGTCTCAGCTCCTGCCGTATCTGAAATAAGAATAACAATAGTAATTACCCGTTTGCTTTTGTCACTTGTCGGAAAATTACCGAAATTCCAAACTTTGGTCGTAGATCTAACTGTTGGTAACATGCTAACAGTGGGTCTTCGGGGACTCGTTGACGTCCGAGGCGGGTTCCGAGGAGTTGAACTGCTACCTGTAATATCAAGAGTCGTAAAAATAATCGCAAAATCTCGCGGGAATTACATGTATAAACACTGTTTGTTTTATTCAACTGCATGCCGTAATGCAGCGGATCTATATGTCTTTGACAGTGTTCTCCGGCTTCCTTGATATAAATTTCCCGGTTTGAGATTTTAACACCGACGAAGCATTCGTACGTCCCTGCGGCAACATCGCGCCTTTGGGTGTAAGTGTACAAAAATTCCGATTCGCGCCAGTGGCCCAAACACCTGTATTCCCGTTCTTCATAGACTTCATTTGTTTTACAGTGTGACACTTGGTAGTACATCAATTCGGAAGTGTCACAATCGGACCATAATTTGGCACATAAGTCTTCGCCATCTGGGATCACACCTATATACTCGCCCGAAATGGGGCACCGACCTGAAGAAGTCTCTTCCACGGCATCGGTGCCTGAAATAAACCGTCAGATTTGTCACTTAACCCCCCCTTAACCCACTTACGCCCTTGAGTTATCCACGAGTCGTCTTGGAAATTATCGTCGGAACACAGTCCGAACACGTCTTTGGTTGTACTAGCTTTCGAACCTAATTGAAATTCTAATATATTGTTACTCCTCTTAACAATACGCATACAGTTGTACCGCTCCTCATCGCTGAAACATTCAACTTAGCCGCGATCAAGATTCACACGAGCCTTACCATTGTGTCCGACTAAAAATCAAGTATCTACTCCCATCTTCCTGAACACCAACGCATTTTATCGTGTATGTTTTGAACGAGGAGTGGTCGCGGTAGATCATGGTGTCGTAGTCGACACGGACGTGTTCCCAGTTCCCGTGCATCCATTTCGGGAATGTGCAAGTCCCGAAGGACGTTTCGGCCGGCCAGGGGTTCTCCTGACGAGGCGTCAGCGAAAACGTCTCAAAACCATGAGTTGAGTTGATCAAGTCAGTGGTGCAAGTCGAGTCACGACTTAAGGCCATGTGGATGTCGCCAGTGCGATACTCGTGGTTAAACAGCTACAGAATTAACGATATGAGGGCTAAATTCCGGCGAAGGCCAAAAAGCGACACTTGCTCATTTAAATTCTTTATTTTTTTGTTATAAATAATTGTTTTCTTTTGTCTGTGTTTTAAGTATTTTTGATTAACCAGAGATTAAAAATTTCACTTTAATCGTGAACGAAATTTTTTTTAATATCCAAAGTCGAGTCTTTTTCCAAGTTTAGTGTCAAAATTCTGAGTTCTCACGATTCCCGACAAACAAGTTTCCTTAATTAAAAAATTTTAAACTAGAAAAGAACTCTAATTTCTTTTCGTGAAATTGGCCATAAAAAGCAAGTGTCTACTGCACCTTCATATTTCCAACTTACAGCGCATCGATATTTCGGTTTCGGGCCCCCGATTTGCCTATTATTGTCAGCGAAGATGAGATAATACTCGTTGTTGGGTCCCTTCCAGCTGGCCATGCATTCGAATTTGAGATCGAAAGAGTTGGGACTGGCCGTACATCCCCTTAGGCGGAAATTGAGGATTGATCCGGAAGGACAGGAGTCGAGAATGGAGTCATAACCGGTGCAATCATTGGGTTGCGAGGGATTATTACTTGTATATGTGATAGAATATTTTCCGTCGATCGGGCAATATTCTTTCCGTGTATACAAACCGTTCTTTTCTGCAAAAACGCCCTTGTAATATAAATGTGATAGTCATCAATGGTTAACTCACTGAATAACAATATTTCCGCCGCTTCACGATTCGCTAAAGATTCTTCGGAAGGACAATTCTTTTCCGCTAAGTCCTCGTTTGTGTAACATTTCGAAATAATTTCCTGGTTTAACGCAAACACTTGTAAAACGTTTGCGGATCGCAATTTCAGGTGTAAACAACGAATACAACTTGTTTCCCTGTAGCTGTGAAACGTATTAATTAGTGGGAATTCGTGTGAATTGCCACTCACAATTCCATTGGTATTTTGGTATTACGGAAGCTCAGGCATGGCCATTATGAGTTTTCATGCCACAGAATGGGTTTTGACCTTTCTTACTAAACACCAATTAAAAGGTTTAATAACCCCGCTGAATTTTTAACACTAAGAGAAAGACGATAATAATATACATTTCCGGATATCATGAGCTTCGGCGGAAAATTACATAAAAAGATGAATAATTAATATTAACAAGAATTAAACAAGTTCGGCGACACTTTTTTTATAAAACGGATGTGTGATCATTAGTCATATTATTAATTCATTTATTGCATTTATTATTGAAATTTGGAATAGGGGTCTTCGCAATCGTCGGGGAATCAAAGTTTTTTTTGACTATGTATTTCCACTTGGTAAATATCAATTTTCAATGTCAGCGTGTTACATAGAGCATGTCGAAATAATTTGGCCGCTTTTTTATCCGGTTATTATGCACTAATAAGAACGACCGATCGTTTGGTTAAGTTTGCAAAGAAAAAGCTTTTGTTGGTGCCGAAGTTGGTTTAAATATTTTGAAACCGCAATCTGGTCAGAATACCGATGGAATTGTATCGTTCGAAGATTAACATACTTGAGCATGAGTATGAAATTGTTGTTTCCTTTGCGTTTGTGGCAGTTGCCCCAAATGGGGATTGACATCGAGGTCACGTTGACGGTGGTGTACTGTATTCCGGTGCCTAAGTTGGTCGTGGTTTGCATCACGAATTCGCCTTGGAACTGCTGAGGGAAGTAGCAGACGGCGTCCGAGTGTCCCCCTGAAACATCCGAGATTGAATTGTTTTTCTTGGAATAAGCGGTCAAGTGTTTCGGAACAAATTCGGAATTCGGAGAACGCTTCATCGGTTTGGAATTATTCAGTGGGAATGGGTCCGGCTTTCGGTCATTAGCGGTTTGCTCTAATGAGGGGTAATAAGATTGGCCTACGCGCCATCTATTTCGCATAAGAAGAGGCCATATTATGGATGGATTGTTATGGTCCGATGAGCGCAAAGTCACCGACCGGTAGTGCGACGAAGCCTGGCGAGTTACCACAGTTATTGCTAAGAGATAATGGGTAGTAGGTAAAATACCCCGGATCCTGGCGACAATTTCCGTCCTTGTAGAGATTCCAACGACATCCGGAGAATACCTGCAGTACCGGTTTTCGTACTCTGGATCGCGGGATGCTGCCCGACTTAATTACCACTTTCTCCGCCCAGTTAATCAATCTTTTTCTAATTTACCAAACCGACAACTATCAGCAGGATTCACTTTCAACGCGAAATTATTACCTGCACGGGCAAAAACATGCAGAATACCAATGAATCGAACGCCGATGCTAGACCGGAACCATATCAGAAAGGATGCAATCAATTTCTCAACATGACATTCAACGCATTTCTTAATACACCAACAACCATTACTTCACCTATTTTTCTACCGTTTCAACCAATTTTACACACTCGCGCCAGCCGTATAATTAATTCAAAACAAAAACACCATGGCGCCACCAAAAAACAAACCGTTTCATCTCAATTTTCTCACCATATAGCTGCGAAAATTTGCCTCGACATGGAATAAAAAATGAGAAATTGCAACATGTTGTACATTAACCATAATATTACAATAAAACTTTCATTTGACTGACTTCGAAAATGATTATTTCGACTCAGAATTCTTCGAAACCCAATTCTTTTACGGTACTGCATCTCAGGAATTCAAGAGTTAATAAAAATTCTCGATTGTGTTCACAGTTTTTGCGTTTGAAAAAATGTAGACATTTCTGAGCAATTTTATATGAAAATCGAGCTATTTTACCACTCAATTTCGATTGTGCATATTTTGTGTGCAATGACCTGTTACAGAAACAATGACAATGCAATTCCCTTGACCTGCTATTGACAAAACTATGCGGTGAATGTCATCAAAGTACGTTACAATTCCTGAGAATCAAAAATGACAGCCGAAACATTTTCCCTTTTATTTTCAGCTTCACAGTATTAGCTGAAAACCGCAATCTCAAGATTAAAAGAATGTTTGAAACAAAACAAATGTTTCGGATATATGATCTCTTTACTAGCTTATCTTATATAAAAGTTTCACGTCGTTTGATATAAAATCCTTTACTTAAAAATTGTGCAAGAACATGCCTTATGAATAATGTGTCAGAGAGCGTTTGTTACAACTATGTGGTAATCGATTCATGTTGACATTTATGACTCGTGATAGTTTTAAGATTTATCGCAAGAAATGATTTTGTCAAACAAAATTTTTTAAGACTGCAGTGGGCGAGAAAATACAGTATGTTGAATTTAAAATTATTATGGAGTACATTTATGGTTATGCCATTCGAACCACTCAAGTAATTTTGTCTTGTAGTTTCATTTAAACAGTATACTTATTAAATTTATGTTTTTCAGTATTGTCAACTTATTTCAAAGTCACAAAAATTTAAATTGAACACATTACATCTATAAGTGTTGGAAACACGGAGTAAAATATTATTGTCCGTGGTTGGAAACGAAAAGTAGGTAGCGAGTTTTACTCGGAACTCATTGTTGCTAAACGAGTTTATTAAATAAATGCAGATTTGATTTAACAAAAAATTAAAAAAATCTAAGTACGTTTACTTTGATGAGTCGGCAAAATGATCAGAGATATTGTTAAAATTGTTTCAACAGTGACAAAAAAACGCAATTCCACAGTTCCAGTCAACCAAAACTCCGGCTTTTTTTATGTTAAATGGCGTTTATTACTATTTTTAGTTGTTTCAAATTGTAAATTGCCGTATCCTAAAAAATAAAGCTGGTTTTACTTGTGAAAAAACCCGATGCAGTCTTGCTGCAGACTTAATTCAGTCCATTAAAATACGTAAGCCGTAAGATTAGGTAGTACAGGTAGGTACTACAATTACAGGCAGGTGTTCAACTGATTTAGAACGGCCTCTTTAAATGAAACACAGGTAGTTCGAATACCACTAATACCAGAACAGAATTACTTTACCTGCCCTTGCCTTTCACAATTTTCTACTAAATAAACACCAAATGTATATCCTAAATATTTTCTATGTGCTGGGGACTAGTCATCAATAATCGAATAAATCACTGGAATTCCATGAATTGTGCCGTTTTGAGCGAACAATTCCTGTTGTAGTGTGAACGCACCTTAACGGATAAACCACTGTTTGAATAGATGGCTGATAGTATCGGATGGAAACTAATTAGAAGTTTAAGTCGCAGCCTTAATTACCCCGGATTAAATCTCTCCTTTTTAATCAAATTTAAAGTAAATGGGGAAATGTAGTAATAATCTCTTTGTTCGCTAAATGGAGTGAAAAAACTACAAACCGTAACGAAATATGACGCAAAATGCTAATACTCATCTCCTCACTCATGCCCCAGGAAGATCAGGCATTTTCTTATAAAGAACCGAAATAAATAAATCACGACGAGTGTGGGACTCGAATTAACATGCGGTAACAAGTTCGAGTTGATTGTTCCTGTACCCATTCCATTCCATGAATTCTTTCCTCCTACTAAGGAGCACCCACATCGACGTGAAAATATTACCATAACCGACCATAACACAACGCCGTGCCTCGAATATTTAAATTCAATTCCAACACATTAACTCCACCTTATCTTTTACTACCCTCGAATACGATGGAGAAATCTCCACCCAACAGGAAATTGTATTTACTTTTTTTATTTATTGACCCAACACCGGTGTAAAACCCACCTCTAATCAAAATTGAGTAATTTTACGTCGAATTAAAAGACCATTTACGTAGAAAGCTGCGGTTTTATATTTCACACGACCAATGGAGCTATTTCATTAATGCTGACTTAACGAGGGAACAAAGCACAAAGCTTATTTTAGCCCAGAATGCGAGCACCATTCAACTTATTTTTAAAGCGATAAGTCGGGGGTAAACCCTCGTGAATAGCACAGGAATTTGCCACGAAACGCAAAATATTCCCTTTCAGACTGTTAACCAATACAGTTTGTGTTATTTACACAATTAGGTAATAAAATTAAAATAATAAAAACATTTAATCCAGGACAGAAATAACAAAATTGCTTGTCATGTCAGCAGATTACAATATATTCTGTAAAGACTATCTGTCACTAATTTACAAAATCTCGCTTTGTAAACAAGCCGTTTTTCAAATTTTAATTTTAGAAAAAATTGAATTCACATCTTCAATAATTATAAAAGTTTAGATAGTTGGGGTTCGTCGCTTGTGCACCCGTTTGGGTTCTTAGAAATTTGGTTTCTAAACCTCGGTATGAGGCATCAATGTGATTGTTGCCAGTGGCGGTTTTATTTTTCCAAATGAAGATTGTGGTGAATCACGTTTCATTTTTTCTGAATCATTATTAGCTAGTATCCAAGTCGTACAAGTTGAGGAAGTGGTAATTGGATTATTTTTTATCTTGTTCACATTACGGGCGGAAAAACCGTGATTATGGCACAAGTCGAATTTCGCTGTTGTACTGAGTTTTTGGTTTTTGTTATGTCAGATGGTGTGCGAAGATGCGATTGAAAATTGGTTTAGTCAGCGAAGAGGAATGCGCGTTCGCAGACAAATAAATAAACAAAAATTAATCACTGGACACTTACATAGCGAGAGGAGCGCAGCCGAAACCAATGTCACTTTCACATAGGTGTCCATGATAGGGCTAAACACTCGCGAGTACCACTTCGAAATGGTACCGAGCCGAAGGCTGCGACGACTCTGGTCAGCCCCGGGGTGGCAGGTAGAGAACACGACAGGTGCAGGACGTGCTCTCGAGGCACCGTAATTGAATGAACCGGCGGAGTTATGAATGAAGAACCGACTGATCAGCTAGTACTGAGCCGCAGGCGCAAGCGCACTAGGACTAAGGACCACAAAAAGCACTAGTTCTTTTCAACATTCTTTATTTCTGGAATGATGATGGCCACAAGCCGTGACTTCCGAAAGCAAATAGTGCAGCTTCAGTGGTTTCTTCAGTTCCTACTCCCGAGCGGCTCTGCTCACTTTGTCGTAGACTTCGGCGAAGGCCGAGTCGCAGCCCAAAGAAGCCCTCAGCGAGTCGTATAGCCGGTGGTCGAACATCGTGCGAAATTCCTCACGGGACATATATGTGTCGGCATATAGCATCTGGAAACTACACGTATTATCACAATTTCGAATCCGGAAAGCACAATTTCGACAAAAATTCAAGTTAAATGACCGACACAAACAATTAAAGGCCTAACGAGGAAATTATTACAGCTCTGGGAACAATTATAACCGAAAATTATATCCCAAAAAAATTGCACAAATTTATTGCTCTAATTTTTAAGCAAAGTTATTTATTGTAAAATAACACAACAATTCAAAATTGAACACAAGGACTGACCTATTTTTTTCACACAAAGAGCTTCAATTACTTGAAACCAAACTGTTGTAAAATTTGTGAAAATGCAGTGTCGTTGAACGTTACAAGTTGGTTTTCTGCCAAGAAAAAAAGGAGAGCTCACATAATTACTTAGGAGAAAGAAATGTAAAAAATTGCGGTTCTATCTGTACCTATCAAAAGATTTTAGAAAAGGTTGGGCTCAAACAGAGCAGGAAGATCACTGATAATTCTGTGTTTTGTGAAAATAAGGAAAAACTCATGTCGTGCCTTAAAATAACAATCATTTCTCATATTTGTCGTAGCTTAATTGAATAAATAAACGAACATAGAAGTACAAAAATAGATAATCATTTGCTTTGTAAATACATAAATGTAAAAACTAACTGGTATGCAGATAACGCACTATATAATCAAAATAATTTTACTGTCCAGCGTCCCATGACTTCTATAAATAGAGTGTGTCTATGCCGCAAGCAATAATCATACTCCGACTGAAAGATTACTTAAAACTTTGAGCTTATTTTATGTAAAATTGTGAAATTTTGATAAAAAAGTTCAAACAAATAATGCATGCGTACATGTCATGTTGAACGGCAATTATATTTGTTACGTTAATGTTATCATAAACCAAATAAATCAATTACTTTGATCCTAAAGTCACATTGTCCACAATTTTATGTCACTCAGATGATTATTACTGTCAATTTTTAACTCATCTGGAAGTTGTCATGTCTGGACATAGTCGCTCTGCATTACAGCCGCTGTAATAGCATCAATTTAGGTAATTAGTATAGCAAAGTCATGTTTTACTATCAATACAAATGTTATAAATATCATGTAATAATTTCGTAGTGCAAACATTAACTGGGAACATAATTGTTTTAACAACTTGAAATTAGGGAAAAAATAAGCGGAAACGTTTCAAAACCTACACGCTAATCACTCCAATTATAATTAGAGCTAAATGACTTACCCATTGACACTAGTGACGTATTTTTCGATCTCTCTCGTTGATTCAAGTGGCGAAAATTTTTTTGCTTTGGGTACCCCGTATACCCCGATATCGACATAAACAGGGTCTGTGGAATAATTAGTTATGGGTGGATGTACCATTCCGGGGTTTGGAGGTAATTTGAAAGGGCAAATCCACATGGGATATATCTCGAGGACCTCGTGAAACTTTTCAATGCTAGCTTTGAGCATTTCAATAGGTACCAACATGTCTTGAATCACGTGATTGTTCTCGTACAGTTTTCGGACAGCTTCAGTTTGGGTCAGTTTTAGAAGAGATACTTTTGGAGGTACTATCCAACCTAAGAAAAACCTAAACAGGACGTTATTTCCGAAGGGAATAATATCCTGAAGTTCCCAAAATATAGATCTTGTATGTCTGTGATAATAGTCACGCAAGGGGATGTATTCTACTACAATTTCATTTGTTTCCAACATGCTCTCAACATGTTTAAAAAACCAAGGCTTGTACCATTTGCCAATCGCATTTACCTGCAACCAATTGAACGTAGAGCCAAAATTTGAACCACTTTAGTGTTTATACTTTATTTTCGTCTATTTGATCGGTTTGAATGCCTGTCATGAGCACTGCCTTATCTTTATCATAAACCAAAGTTTCAACAAATTCATTATTTAAGTCTTTACTAGCTGATTCAGTCTCTTGAGTTAATTGTTCCAAGGTTTTTAACGGTTTGTAAGTCAGCTTGACGTATTTTTTGGCTGGGATTAATTGAATTTCGACAGCAGTTAATATACCCAAAGTACCATAGGACCAAGGTACTGAATAGAACAAATTCGGGTTTTCTTCAGCTGAACAAGTGGTAACAGAACCATCACAAAGAACTAATTCGTACGAAACACAAATGTGTTGGAAAAGGCCGTATTTGTGCGAAGATGACTCTATTCCAGTCCCCATAACTAAACCTCCAACTGTCAAATCGTCGAGCTCCGGTACCACCGGTATAGTCCAGCCTAAGGAGTTCAAAGTTGCGGTTAGCTGACCCATAGTGACTAAAGGTTCAACTCGTACAGTCTAATAATTTGAAAAATTAAACTTGCGTCTTAGGTTTTTGAGTGGTACCTTCTTTTCTAAATTAATATCTAAAACGTCAACCAGATTGACTTCAATATTATACATAGTTTTCTTATATTTAGGTCTTCTGAAGGAGACAGTCTGCCATCCAGGCCTCGCCGTGCACATAAACTGTTTCTTTCCATTCTTAATCCAATTTCTTACCTTAAATACGAAACAGCAATTAGGATCGCGGTCAAAAAACCATTTCGGTTCCAGTGAACTCGAACGAAATTAAATAGAAATTTCGATGTAAATCTACTTTGTGACTCAGCTGAATTTAATCAAAAAAGCAAATATTTGTGCTTCTCGACAACAATGAAATTTTTTGACATACCTGAGTTTGTACATGTTTCACTTTGGAATGATGTTGTTTAGGGGCACTACTCAATTTAAAAATGATCCAATTACGAAAGTACAACCAAATATCGAAAAAGAAAGACGCAGGCAAGAGGAAAAGACATACGAAAACCCATCTGTAATGAATAAGGATGTACTCAAAGAGTCCCTCCGGTTGATATGCCATGTTCACAGACTGAACTGATAAAATTTTATTTTAATCAAGGTTAAATTAGTTTAAAAACAAGCGTACTAGCGCATCGCGCATCTGTGATTTTATTAACGATTTGTTTATATTTCAAACTCGCTCGAGGTTTGACGAATTTTGTTGCCACACGGCTGTGTCAGGTGAGATTCTATCACAAATCGATTGTTTCACCTTAAAAATCCACTCAACGATTCGAGCTCTGTAAATCATTAATACAAACGAAGTCATTATCACCACTTGTAGTTTATTTTGCCCGCATTGCTATGGGGTAATTAATTATGCAAGAGAGCTTTCGTATTTACTTTTTTTTAAAACCTTTGAAATGTCAAGCTTGACTTTGCTGGAAACGTCCGATGGAACAAAAAATTTTATACATTTATTTAATCGGCGGCTGTTCAGAAGTGCAACGTTATATTGCATTATGTTGTAGTGCGGATGTGAAAAAGTAATGCAATTTACGGTTTTTAATGTTAAATCCAAAAACCGTAACTGGCATGAACCCATTTAAGAAAAGTTGTATACTTGCATTATTCATAATTTAGGAATTCATTTTCTAGAATATGGGAGCAGTTAACATTGTTTTATTACATACAGAAAAGGTTTTATAATCGGGTTTGTCTGTCTGATAAAACAAAGGATACTATTTTACTCTTAATCTATATTCTAATGCTGATTAACAAAAAGGTGTTTTGGTGTTAAGGTTGTTTTATTTTATTTTTCCTTGGAATGAAGATAAAATGTGAGAGTCTATAATTTTTTTTATTTGAGATATTATTGATGGTTAAAATATTTGGTTAAAATGCCTATATAATCGATAATAATTTTATTGGTCGGATTGCTGTGACCTTTGAAAGTCAGGTTTGTACTTAAAACAGCTTTTAATGAGCAAAATAATGTCAATGTAATGTAAATGGCATTATTTAATTTTCTTTGTAAAAGGGTCTTCTTTTGTTTAGAAGTAAATGGAGTCGAGTAAAATTAAATTTAAAAAGTTGTGCGTCTGAAAAACTTTAATTTGTTGTATGTTAGAAATGTAATTTGTGTGTTCTAAATTCAATTGCGTGGCCAGAGCCAGAAATGAATAAAATGCCTTAGAAAGAAATTGCCTTAGAAGATTGGGGGAAAATGTGTTATGATTGAATAGGGGCTGATAGGTCAGAGAAAAAGATGTCTACTGACCGATCGTCCTTGGATTCCACCATTTTGGGGTGAATGACCTCGCACATTGAATTTCCCTGTTAGAGTGTCAGGGGTGAGTGCAAAGTGTCGTTTTGCAGGTGATTTCGCTGTTATTGAACGAAGTTGAATTGGAGTAATAGGAATTGAGTCCAGTGGATTATAATTCGGGGTATTTGTTGTGGATGGCGCTCTAAGTGAGTAAAAAACAGTAGCGCAACTGGCGCAACGATAGAATTGCAAGGAGCAGGCGCCCGTCTATTGATTCTTAGGTTGAGTAGAGCCGTCGTCGACCCGACCACGGATTGCCAATAAGGTGGGGCTCCTGTCATGCTGCACGAGCTCTCGTGTCTGTCGAGTCTGGTGGCTCATTAAGTTCTCGCGACCTACGCCGTCTCCTCTCACGTTTACTGGCCCCCGGAGTTTCCGGTGCGGTGTATGGCTTGTCGGCCTCAGAGTTACTTGGAGAGAATTTAAGTGTCCATTCGACCTGATGATTGGCTCATTCTGGAATTTGTGCAGAGCTTGCCCGTCGATGCCTGTCGATAAGGTAAGGAGGAGCAGAGAGTTGACGCCATTGCCGATTTCAACTTGCAGCTGCACTCCGAGTACCGGAGTACTTACCGATGGCACGAGTACACGGGGCCGAGGCAGGAGGTCGTGCGGAGGCCACCGCAGCCCAACGCCGCTCCAAACGCCGGTAAGTCTTTTCAGTCTTTACCAGATCAATAGCAACTCCAGACTTGACTTAATCACGTCTTTTAGGCGACACTCAGCACTCCTCCAAGGAGGATGAGGTGCATAATGAACGTAAGTTGAGTGAGTCTGGTTGTTCTTATTGGTTAATTTGTTTGTGGGTTTAGTGCCCAAACTGGAACCGGCGATGCCTAGAAGGAAGAAGTATCCCGATTTGGCCTACCGTCATCACGAGTTTTTGATCAGTGATGGCGAAATTACTGCGAATGGGATGTGCAACACGGAAACAAGGGCTAGGGTAAGCTGGGTAGATACCACCGTGCACGCACTTATGCATCTGGTCGCGTCGCTCAACCGCTAACGTAACAAGTAGACTACAACTCCACAGTACTTGTAGACAGATTCATACAGGGTGTGTCAGAAGATTTGCGCCATTTGGTGGCAAGTTCAGAATGTTTGGTGTGCTTTTTGGCACATCTTGTATGATGAGGAGTCCAGCTAGACTAAGTCGGTGCGTGAAGCGAATTGCCGTCGCCGCTCCCGAGGCTCTGACGTTAGTTGAACCAAACCCGTAAGTCCAGTAGTCCAGTTGCTCTCTCCGCCTTGCCTGCATGAGAGTCCCGAGTGTCGGCCATTGGTGTATCGATCTCGTTGAGATCGATGAGAGGGCCCGCCACTTGGTAACCCGTCCAGTTGGAAGCCCATTAAAGGGATCAGTGCTGCATGCGACGTATTAAAATGAATACGTTTCCGTTGTCATTGCATGATTGTATGAAAATGTATTCATTTTAATTGCAGTCGGAGGAGCGTGGGGCGCACTGGAGGCCTTCCCGGCGGAGCAAGTCGGAGGGACCGCGTGGCGGCGGCCACGGGGACGGCATGCGGGAGCGGGAGCGGCGTAGGGAATCGGACCCGGATTTGGAGAACATGGTAATAATCACACACACGCGACACGATTACACTATACCCCCCGATCCGCTTTGATCTTACCATCCGCACGCCGACGGTCCGTCTTTCTTTCCAGGGACGCGAAACTGGACTTCTTCGGAAGGCCATTTCAAAAATTAGCACTGAATACAGACTGCAATTCGCATGGCCTCATGGCCATACTTCACGTAAAGATGCCGTCGATTCTTCGGCACCTCGTAAATCCCAATCGATGGGAGCTCTAAAACCAACCACCAATGCAATGGTGCACAAAAAACGCATCGATTTGGAAAATAAGGATGGTAAGCATCAAATTCCTCCATTCCCGCATTACTTACACCCTAAACCACCATAATGCACCACCATCAGCCAGTGAACTCGAACCATTAGTCGATGAAAGAAACACACGTGAAGACAAGACTCACATATTCAAGGATGAATTCAATTCCGAATACAAGAAGAACTTCAGACCTTTCTCCCAATATGAATACTCGGAAGGACGATTCACCAAGCGGGGACCTTCCCTAGACGAGACCGATAACTCAACCGGACAAAACTCACTACCACCTCATTGTGACAAAAACGACTCTTGGTACGGAGAAGTCGTTGAATTACGAAAAAAAGCAGGAGAATATAAGGTATGACATAAGAAATTTTTCGTATACGGTCTAGGGAACCCTTGGAGTTGGGATCATTCCCAACAAACACTGACCTAATCAATCCGGAACTGTTCGTTTTTTATTTGCTTTTTTATTGAAATTTCAATAGGTAATTCCATTATGATAAAACTTGTATTCCATTTTTGCGCGTCCTTCTATTTGAGAAAATTAACACAATTGTATGTTCCAACTGTTAATAAAAGCCTGCAAATAGCAGAGCTACTTTTTGTTTTGTGCAAATCGAGAACTGTTAATCCCAATTTATCAACTTGTTGTATTTAGAAAGCACAGATTGGTTTAGGTTAGTTTATGTGATCTGAACACAAAAATAATTGCACTTGGTGAAATTAATTATTCCGTGTGAATATTTGTGACAGCACCGCGGTTGGGGTAGTGAACTTGCTCCAGATAGGCTTTCTGATATATGCAATAAGCAAGTTGAACTTTGGGATCAAGTTTCACGGAGAAGTTCTCTATCAGCCTTATCTCTCGCTTCCATGACACACAAGTCTTATACAAAAGAAGAAAAGGAAGTAGATAATAACAGCAAGACTTCTCCATCGAAAGCTGCTCGCAATGCTGAAAATTCAGCTCGAATTGTACGAGATATGATCAGACATCATTTAGAACGAACAACTGGTGGCTCAGGTACAATTAATGCCGCTTTACAAAGATCCAAATCTTAACAAACTTCATATTCAGAATTTGACGGTTTGATTCTGTCGCCGACTAGAGAGAAACTCGAACCGACTATACCACGAAAAGATGATGATTCAAGAAGTTCCCAAAAGAACAGTCCCAAGAAACACTCACCGCTGAAATCATCATCTTTGAAACGACATAACCAGAAAGCTCCTAAAAGCGGTCCTAAGAACCGTAAGTGCGACTTCTTTGTGTTTCGCGATGCTACATTGTTTTTTCTAGTTCGTTCCCAATCTGTTGGCCCCGTAACAGATATGACTGAAAAACGGTCACCAAAGCGCCAGTCAAGATCTGCCACCGTCAAAGAGCGAAAATCTTCGGCAAATCAAGCTAGCATCAAAAGGCCTCGACCTTGTAAGCTCCAGCATGTGATTAAATCGTCAGTGTGTGCCAAGACTCGTGATGTTTGGCTTGGCTCATTTCACTTGCAATAAATGCTTTCGACGTGCAAAATTCAATTCGGTCCTCACTTCATTTCTTTTTTTGTCTATTATTTTTTCCGTTGATGTATGCAAAGCTTTGGAAGGACATCTTATTGGAAAAATAAGACAGTCTTTCAGTGCGGTTTCTTGCTTCAGCAAATGTGTGAAACAATTGCACCGCGCTTGTGTTGGTTGTAGTATTAGTAACGAATTTCCGGTGTTTTAGCATCCTTGAACACTACTGTCTCATCCCGATCTAAACATAGCTCGGTACCCTCTAAAACCGAAGACGACAGATTGGCCAAAGCTAATTCAAAATCTAACACTAAGCAAAAACTAGGCACTAAACAGTTAGAAAAAGGAATTTCTGGAGGTAAGAAGGCACGATCCTTGGCACACGCAATTCATTTTGAACCGACTTCGGTAATAACGTTTTTAAAAAATCATGTACTGATAGCCGACCCACCCAAAACCGAAGTTAACGAAGCAGTTAAGAATGCACCAGTGGAAGGACCCGAAATAATTGATTATGAACCGGTGGTAAAGTCGCCCCCGGAACCAACTAGGGTGAAATCTCCCGAACAAATTCTGATGCGTTCTCCGGATCCTGTCAACTGGACTGTACCACTCGACACCGGAAAAACTTTTACTGTCACTCAAAACGTTAGGGAGGGTAAAAATCAGTCCATCAATTTCAACCAAGGCTGATTTATTGACAAATAAGTGCTTTGTTTCAGGGGATTTGGGTAGTCGACCCCATAGCGAAGTAAAAGCCTGGACTCCTCCAGACGTGCCCCTTCCTATTGCCCAGTCTGCTCCACCAACTCTTGATCAAAATAAGGAACAAGGCATGTCGTAAACTTGGACCCGATTTCTGCTTATTCGATTTGGTTATGTTGCTTTAGGTATGGATTTAGCAGTGAAAGCATGAACTCGGGCCAGGGCAGAGTCATCGCTGCACAGGCAAGTATTTAATTGATCGAGTCCACTCCCCAACCCTGATAATCCTATCGATTCGTGTCAAAAATAGCCGCTTACAAACCAATCGATATCTGGACGCCGATGGCTAATATATATAAGTGGTTTTATTTGTAGCTGAGAGACCTCCAACCAACGGTAGAGCATCTACGGCCATGTGATTCCATCAAAGATGCATCTTTCAACAGGGTAGTAGCCAGGAAGTGTTGGTGCTCGTAATGGCCACGGTTTTGTAACTCCGTGGTGTATGTTCGCCAGGACTGAATAAGGGACATACACCACGGTAATCGCGCCATTTGCTGAACCTTATTTGAGCCATTTGCCCAGCTTTACCTTTGTAATCAACTGCTTATGTTCCATGCCATCCGTTTACAAATCCGTCAAGGTGCCACACATTTCGTTCAAAATTATGGACGTCCCCTTTATACAAAAATTTGTGATCTCTAATCAGTGCACTCGTGTTTTCTGCCACAAGGAAGTCAGACGAAATTATCTATGGTTGACATATATTCATATATTTTGTGTAGATGCGTTTGCTTGCCAACTCTCTGGTTAATTTAGTGACATCGAACGCACTTATATTATTTATTATTAATCATACAGTAAAGAGTTATATAAAAGTTTCTGTTACTCTAGTCTTTCATTCACAACTTACCTCAATCCCTATCCAACAATCAATAACTTCCATAAAAAATTAAATCAAAGGAAATATTTGCATTACAATTGTATCAGAACTATATATTTACTTTCCAACAAACAAAAAAAAATAAAAAGAAAAAACGAGAGGTAAGCAATAGTAAACACGTCAATAAATGAAAAATGTTTTATTTACTGACAGATTTCACGAAATGTGAAACATCAAACAAAAAACTAAAATTACTACCCTAAAAAACAATATGATCATGTAAAACTTAATATACGTTTACTTATTAAAGAAATTCTCTAGAAATTGGTACAAAACAAAAAGAAGGATTTAGTGCCTTTTTAGGAACTGAAATTGAAATTTTAGTCACTGACCGTCGCCACAGAGATGTGCAACTTGAAGTCACGTGACATCGGTCACTACGACTCGGCCGATTCAAACATTAATAAAAAAGCAGTAACTCCTTTACAAAATCTTTATTGATTATAAAATAGCTTCATAAACTATATATAATATATGCTATATAACATGGAAATAGTCATAAATAAAAATAGTTGACATACAAATTTAAAAGTTATATATGCACATATTGCACGTGTGATATGTGGGAATGCTAGCAGTTTGGATCACCGGTCGAAGAGACCGTGCTCGCAGCAGCAGATCCAGTGGACGGTGTTCCCGTACCCGAGCTATACTTCAAATCACCATCACAAATATATTTTCCGGATATAAAGCGTCTTTTGACTAGAGATAGCCGATACCCCGTCCCAACTAGCTGAAATTCAATTCCTGAAAGTGTGGTACCTTCACAATTGAATGAGGCTGAAATCGTCGCCGGATTAGTGGGACCGTTTTCTAATTCGAAACGAGCTAACATCGACCCGACGCCATGATTCTCCGAATGTTGAGATAATTCGGTAAACTTCCAAATCGCACGATTTGAATCAGCCAACCTGAAATGTGAAAACTTAAAATGGATACCTACCGAAATAATTCCAGTAAATACCATTGAGCCGCAGGTTTTAATTGGTGATTTTTCACACCACCATCGACAGGGACTGCTACAGTTACATTGAGTAACGGAGTAGGAGAACTCATGGAATGCGAATTGTATTTGTAATCCACCTTTAAATCTGTATGTGAACTTGTACATTTCCAATAGGCCACAAGTTGAAATGGGCACGAATTCGCGCCAGGCTTAGCTTTAATCTGAACCAAATCCAATCAAATATGCGATTAACCACCAAAAGAAATGTTACTCACTTGGTATTTTAATATGTCTACATTGAAATAGGAGGCGCTAGGATTTTGTTCCGATTGCTTTTTTAACAATGCACTTAAAGCGGACATATTAAATTCCAAAACTAAATTATCAGTTGATGATTGTCCATTATCACTTCAAAGAAATTTATATATTACAAAGCAAAACAACAATCGGTCTTACATAGCCACTAGTTGCTTATTAGGTAGTATATTTATAAGCCTTTGGGTGTTTTTCACTCGAAAAACTAATTTAGCCGGATTTGGATTATTCGCGAGAATTGTAACAATACCGGCTGGGAATGACAACATCATCTCACCCGACATTTTCACTTGACATCTACAATTATTTTTAAGTCAATAGTTACCAAATTGTCTCTTTGTACCTAGTCTCATCTGCTCCTCGGAAGTACGAATGAACAATTTCGTGGAACGCAACCGCTAATGGAATTGTATCAGCCATGCCAATAGTAAGTGGTGAAGGTCCTCTTGAGACCCCAACAGGAACACAAGCAGTGCGAAATTCCAGACTACTAATACTATCAGCTCGTGAAATATTACTTTGATTAATATGTCGCGAAGGATCAGACCGACGAGATGGCGGTCTAGGAATCGACATGTAGCCCGAAGTAGGCGTTGGAGTTTGACGCAAAGGCTGCTTGGTGACACCTCCAGATGCAGCTTCACCATCCTCAGACAACAAGTCACCTAAGTCAGCATATCGCGAAGATGCTGAAAGTGTTGGCGAGTTTAACGCCAACTGAGAAGGGCTCTGTAATGGAGCGTAAGGATGGGAGCTTGTTGGTGTAGAGGAATTTGATGCGTTGGGACTTTGGACAAAATTTAAACCTAATAGGTCACTACTAGGTTTGCCGAGTTGTTGGGAGACTGATTGGGAGCGTTTCATTGCTAAATCTTGGTTATCTAAATTAGAACCGCGACGGCCGTAAGCACCTCCAGTTGGTGATAAATAGAGATTTTCTACTGTTGCTCGCAATTCATCTACTGAAGCTGACATAGGTGCAGAACCATTATTTAAAGGCTTTATTTCGACATGGATTTTACGTTCGCGTTCGTCATCTACCAAATCGTTAAGTCAGCTTAAGTAAAGTCACTGGGTAACAAATTTACCAGTATCAGAGTCAGATGAAGAGTAAAAACTCCCTTTTTCATTATTCCAATTATGAGGAACATTTGGTCTTATAACATATCCATCCTCGTCCAATTCTGGAGCAGTTGGCTCTGGTGCTGGTTGAGTTCGTTGAGATTCGTCTTTTTCCTCCCTAAGTAATGAATACGGGTATAATACAAAAAAGTAACGTAACTGAAAACTTACATGTCTGATTTCTCTTCTTTATTGCTTTGAGTATCAACATTATCCTTAACTTTCTTTTTGGATTTCTTTTGTTTAGCTTTTTCGCGCCTACTACGTAAAAACCCTACAACAACGTTATGTGAGTCAACTGTCTGACAATGTTATGGACGAATATATGAATGATGAGTCAATGTAAGTGTAAGCAATGGTTGAGAGGGGGTATATAGCGTGCTATGCCTTGCCAACACAGCCAGGTTTAAACAGTAAAAAACGTGCAGATGTATCAGGGTACGTAAGAAAATCCGGGTCTGCTACCTGCTAAAAGCCCAACAGCACAGTGATAGTGATACAAGCATAGAATCTGTGAAAAGATGACAATAACCGCCACCGTTCGATTAAAAAAATAACAGCTCGAGCCGACGCCAGACATGCAGGACATCTATTATAGAAGAAGTTAAGTTACACTTAGATCCACGGTGGGAGTGTCGTGTCAGCTGTTGGTCCCCTTCCGGACTTGTCGGACTCGATGGGGCGCTGCATGGGCCGGCTCGGCTCTCGCGTGATCCTGAAAACACAACCCTTGCCCGGGTCAAACAGTGCTACAGCGACCAGGAAACTGACACGTACCCTGGGAGTTAGACATGAAGAGATTGAGGAGGGAAGTTGTACGGCGGGAAGTTTTGGCATGTGTTGGCACGGACTGGTCACTATTGCCATTACCTTCGCGCTTTGATGGTTTCGAACTCTCGGAGTCTTGTGTGGGCGACATCAGCGCCTCCTCTATATCAACTATACCTTCAACAAAACCAAACGTTACCCACCGATAACAACACGAAAACTAATCAACTACTAAACTTTTTCAATTATTTTACGTCAACGGTAACGAATAAGGAACGACGATTGACAATTGTCAACAGTTAAAGTAGACAATTTAAAGGTTTCATTTAATTACAAGGTCTATAAAGAGAGAAACGCCACCCAGAATACATAATTCTTGACTTTTCATAGCAACTTCAGCATACAGCGTAACACATTTTTATCCATTTGAAAAATATAACAAACTTCTTCGTTAATCAATTAATCATACAACAAGAACAAATACTAAGATCTGTTAAAATTAAAAAACATTTAAATCGTAAGTAACCACATTTCTTTCTTCAATTACAATTGCACAACAAATTTAAAACTTTGTAATGTCCTTAAAAAGTGGTATGTATATTAAAATAAGGTCTGCGGAATCGACATCTGTTTTGTTATATCACGTAAGTTTATTAAAATACCATAAGTAACTTTTGACACTTTTATTATTTTAAGAATTACAATTATTCTTAGAATTTACGTAATAAAGTTTCACATTCCTACTGATCTTTTAATGTTTCTCTTATTAAAAACCAACAATATTTAGTTAATATGCTCAAATTCCATCGTTCTTGAATTTTTTTTTCTAATGTAGCAATATTCTGAACAAATAGCTTTTTATACTCCCAAGTTATCGGGAAAAAAATCAAGATAGAAATAAAGAAAATGAATCTTCATTGATGAAGTATAACCCCCATAGCGGTTTAACATTGTAACACTTCTTCCAGAATTTAATCATAATCAAGCGACTTAAAGTTTTCGAGAAAATTAAAACGACTTGAAGACAATCCCATCAGTTTTTTCAGTTATAGTTAACTTACTAGCAAAATTGTCATAGTTTGCATTTGCATCTGTGGACCAGCTCACTCTATTTTATTTTGACTTATACGCGGAAATTAATAATAAGTCCTAAGTGGTTGATGTTCGTAAGTCGTAATTACAAAAAAATTAATACTTTTAAATTGGCACTATTTCTTTATTATTTTGAGAATTAAGGAATAACAAGTACACTTATCGTGTCATTATCACGCAAATGAATAAAACAATATTAATTTTATTCCGTACGCGTTAGTTAAACGTATTTTTGTTATGACAATTCCTTAAAAAAATATTAATAAAAAAAATGGTACGTGATATAAGAAAAAGTAGTTCATATTCGTAATCAGCACACTCAGAAACAACAGAATCTATTAAAATTTTACAAAGGATAAAATGTGTAGTGTTATTATTGTATCATTTCAATACAGGGTGTGCCAGAACTCGCGCCCCAGAGAAAATTTTCAAGTAAGGTAAGATACCAGGAACATGAAAAAATGTTTAAAAAATTCTATCTGTCAAAAAATTTTGACATTTGACATTTTTTATGTCTATTTCAGGATACTGATGATCTTGTATATGTTATTTTACAATTATTTAGTAAAGGGACAAAAATTTTGCCAATAAAAGCCACAAATAACTTTGAATAGAGTTACAATTTAGGATACAGCGTCCTTGTTTTCTCTTTTAATAGCCTATAGCAAAAAAACTTGGAAAATTATTTTTCCAAGAGAAATAAATACAGTCAAAGTGCAAACTTTAAACCCTCATAACTTCGAAATTTTTCTAGATAAAATTTTTTTAACATTTTTTTTAACATGTTCCTGGCATCTTACCTTATATGGCATTTTCCTCTGGGGCCCGACTTCTGGCGCAATGTTGTCAAATTAATTTAAAAATCACAGATGATAACAGTATTTTTTATTGTGATCTATTTAACCGCATTTATTCACAATAAGACTTTTAAGTATACATTGTTTTAAAAACAAAAAAAAAAAAAAAAAAATTAACAAATTAAAAATTTAGTTAATATTTATTACTAGGAATAGTAAATCCAATCTGAAAGAATTCACATACAAAAAAAAACATTGACAAATATATATTTCAGTTGTTTATTTATTTTAATTAAAAAAATAATAATTTGGATATCTGAAGAACTGATAATTCGGATAACCTGTTTCAATAATTGGTTCGGATTATAGAGGTTCTGCAGTATTTAAGAAGCTTATTTTTTTCTGTTTTGAAAAAATACATATGTGTAACACAATATATTGATAAACCTATAGTACTGCAACATTCTGGGGTTCTCAAGAAGATAAAGTCTATATCTGTTCTAACATTTTGGTTTCGTTTCATAATAATAAAGGCTAGAAAAATAACTGATACCGTGTATAAGTATGTTCTTGGAGAATCTTTTTATTCCTCTATTCCGTGTGTTTATAAAACACTTCTAAATTCGCAGTATTGTATTTCTTGTTTGTTTCAATTACTCTTAAATTTCTGTTTGTTCCAAATAAATTCTAAGCCCGTCATATAACAATGCTTTTGTTTGAGTCAAATTACGGTAATAAAATGCGCCAACGTTGCGAATATAAATATTTACCTGGCCTTTCAAGTCCCGTGGATTTGTTGCGAACGAACTGTTCAAGCAACTGATCCACGGTCAGTTCAAGACACTGCTGTCTGAATTCTTTGTGGACTTTTCCCATTTGTTCATGTGTCCATTCCACGACCTCTGCATACGAATTCAAGAATTCCTTCATATGGCCTAAATGAGTGACTTCCAGTTCTTGAAAATTCTTACAAGTGACTGACATTTTTTTCTCAAAGTCATCTTTGATAACTGTATATTTTTCAACGTAGGATTTGTACTCTTCCTGCGATTTTTTCATCTTCAATTCAGCTTTTTCTATCTCTTTAGGACTAGCGTTATCTTTACGCAGTTTATCTAATTCCTGTCCCCGCTGAGTGTAGGTGTCTTTGCATTTTTGTACCATTAATGTTACATTTTGCATGGCTTGGACTGACTCCAGAGTCCCAGATTCATCCTCCTTGACAGTCTTGTGCTTTTTGTGTAATTCCTCTGCATATTTGTTCACTTCCTTCACTAAATCCGAGACTTTTTGCACCATTTGCATGTGGAGCGCCGAAAGACGCTCCGCTGAGGTCTTCAAGACCTGCCATAATGGAGCAAAAGTGCCTTGATTACAACAACTTCCTGCTTGCTTGGCAAACTTGGCAAGTAGTTTCGAGTTGTTTTCTTCAATGTTTGATCTGATGACGCGAAAATTAGTAAATTGCTGCTCACAAAATAGGGACTCTTACCGTTCTCTGAGTAATTCGGCAAGATCTTTACTAGCAACTAGGCCATATTTCATGTTATGGTATAAAACATCGAATCCATTGTTCTTCTCGCCCTAAGTCACAAAAATCGGATAATAATAATCTTAATTAGATTAGGAGTTGAGACGTCAATAGAACTTCCTCGTTTAGGTTAGATGACACTCACCCAAAAATAATCGTTGAAGTCGACGGTCATTGTTGCACTATAACCATGCCAAATGACTGAAAATTCGTTATCACTAGCCAAAAAAGTAAGGGCACATTACTCTGATTAGTATACGGCGAATATAAACAATCACAACCGTCATTCGTTTACAACATCCTTTCAATCAGACAACACTATTTACATACAACAAACAATATCTAACATAAACAACTTATTCCCAATCGAAATTAACAAAAATCAACCCCTTAACTTAATCTGCCTTTCAGCATTCAACGACATTCACCCGTTTGACGGTATTTAATTGCAATAACGAGATCGTAGGGGGCGGATCATCACAAAATTGTTACAACCGAAGTGACGTATGAGGGCGTTACCGTCAAATCTAGATAACCAACAATACACAGTCGCACTCAAATTGCATAGTTACAATCTATAATCTCCAAAAAATCAATTTATTTCAAACCAAACACTTCAAAAATTTATTTAAACGATGACTAATTTTTAATGAGGTGGAAACGTGGGCTCGATATTGAAATAACGGGGCCTAGTCAGGGGACAAAACTCTAAAAGCCATAAATGTCATGTTCGATCAGGATCATAATTTAAATAAAAATTTAACTCGATAAATTATTTCAGCTTATTACTGTGTTGACAACGTTTATTTTTAGTTTGATGTATGATAAAATAAAAACATACACTTAATTTAATAGGAGTTTAAATTATATGAACCTTTTCCTCTTACCCCATATTCCATTCCGATTTTTTAATAAAAGCATACAAAATATGCGTCATCGACTCATCGACAAAACACGAGTGGTATAAAATTAAACTATAAAATTTTGCTCGTGCATCGATGTAAAAACCAGTAATCATTTTCTCGAAGTAAGTTGTCTCAATAATTATAATTACAGTCGTAAAAAATGTTTGTAAAAGCTTTTTAATAATGCAATAATTTTGTTATCTCATAAAGTTTGATAGCTTACTAATCGTCTCAAAAATCGATTTAATTTCGATGTCCTCAATTTTTTTTAACTTATTCCTGTTGAAAAAGCTCCAAATGTTCAAATGTAAAGAAAGAATGAAGTTTTAGTTATTTATGAAGGAGCAGGCAGAGTATTATTTATGTTTGTGTAGCATAGTGTTGGATATAGGTGAGGTATGTTTGGTCTTTGTTGGTGTAGATATACGTTTTGGGTCATAATTTGAAAAGTGGGTGTTAGTTGAATTGATTATTATCCATAGATTACTACTGGCTTTTAAATGGTCGTTGACCCGTTTGGAAAAATGGTTTGAAGAGTAAAACAGGAATGGCGCGTTATAAGTAAAACATCTGGTATGATTAAAAAATTTATTTGAATAATTAAAATAATAAAATAGTTAGCACTATATAGAGGCAACAGCAATAATCAGTCAAAATGATAGCTTGTAAATTCAGCAATAGCTAAATATAATAAAAAAAATCTCAAAAACCAGTTCCCATTAAGTGAATTATTGACGAAATGAAGTAGTCGTATAATTACGGTTTGTTAAAATGAGACGTGAGTCTGAAGCAAAGTGAGTTGAAAAGTATGTAAGCGTCCTGTATACCTTTAGTAGGCAATTCCCAAAATGGAATCAGGTTTTTGTGTGGCGCAATTTTTTCCTCTACGGAGACTCACTTAAAATTGTGGTCAGTCGGTCTCCAAATGGACATATTAGAACCGGCCTAAATATCAATAAAGCAAGAGATCTTTAAAAGGATACTTGAGATGAGAACTCCTATTTTACAATATCAACACGAAACATTCAATAATTTACTTATCATAACAAAAACAGTCTCACAAAAAACTTAACATATAACGTACAAAACGCAAGCAAAGCGATATTAACTGACGTTGACTTGTGTATGAGCAAGGATCAAAATATCCTTTTTCTCTTTGGGGAATCGTAATTCGCGTCCTGCAAGCCTCGCCGATTCCAACTCTCTCTCGGCTTGATTCAACTCCCTCCTAAGGGAGCCAGCACATTCCTGTTCTCTCGCAATCCAATCTAAAGCCATCTGGGAGCGCATATCGTCGTCTAAAGCCCTATTCGAGTAATGCGCAACCACCTCTTGTCGACTGCACTGTCGCTCCCTCATCGCCTTTAAACTGCCGTTCCAGTGCAACAACTGAAACACAGTCATCAACTCCTGAAACTCCAGCATGGTGCGTCCTTTGTTTGACTCTAACATAAACCGGAACGCCCCTATACCGGTGTTCGGATTGTCTGCTTCCTCCGGATCGCCCTTGAACGAATTGCGAGCCTCAGCCACCGCCTTTTCGATAAAATCGTCCGAAATACGGCGAGATGGGTGCTCGTTAAAGACAGAGTTCATCAGGGCGATCTTCGCGGCGCTGCGACGGGCTTCCGCTTTTGTGGGACAATTCTGTAATTGACGACCGATTAAGTGTTTCAATTGATTTTAAACGAGGGCGCAGGGGCAAGTGCGCACTTTTCACTTTCAACGTGAAACAATGATAGAATGAACATTTGCCCCAAAGTTTGTGTGTGACTAACCTGGAAGCTTCCGAAGCAGGAGCCTCCGGGAAGGGTGACGTAGCAAACGTAGGGCTGGGCATTGGAGGGTACAGATTCGTAGATGACGAGAGCTCCATTGCGGAGGTCGGCACCTCTGGCCTGTTTCATTTGCCAAAATTCTTGTAGAGCTTCGACGACGTTTACTAGAAATTAATGGGTGAAATGTGAGTAACGGGATGTCATATGCGAGCGAAGATAATGATCTGGTTCTTGTGATCGGGATCGCGAATGTCGTTGACATATTTGTAGAGGCATGAGCGGTCGAGCGGGCCATCTGAGGCATGAGCGTGTCTGCACGGAGCCAGTTTTTAAAGGTTTAATGGTACAAGTTACAGTCTGGGCGAAATTGTTGTTGGTTTTTGTCGTCTGGGGTTAGTGTGGTGATCGCACGTTGAAGTCTTTTGATAGTCAGTACTCACCGCGATATCCGACGTCGTCGTAGAGCTGGACCATGGGCGCCGTGGCGGAGCAGGTCCACTGGGGGTCGGGGTAGACCATCATGTCCGTCCGGGCTGCGGCGGCGGCGGCGGCAGCCGCGGCGTCGGCTCCGGACGGTTCAAGGATGCGCCGCGAGACGAGATCGCGGCCAGCACATGCACTCCGCATCAATGATCACTGGTGCAGTTCTGGGTCTGGCCGCTGCCGCTGCATCTCTGGTTCTGTTGCTAAGGCAAGGCAAGGCAAGGCAAGGCAGCGCCGGTTGCAGCGCCTCTACGACAGTCAACCGCCTACCGCTCCCCCGGCAGTTGGCACTGCCGTTGCCCTTGCTCCGGTTCCTCCTCTTCCTCCTCCGGCCACGGATTTGCGATATCACCTCCGCAGCCGCGCCAGAACCCAGAACCACCAAAACGCTTCCAATCGCCGCTCCGGACAGAGGTCAACTCGTTGATTGCACCTCTGTCGCGGTTAGAACATAAGTGAGCGCTTCAGCGCTTCTTTCTCGCACAAACAACACTGCAAATTCGAGACCTCGACCACGGACGACTACACGTACACACAGACCGGAGCTGAATCCAATACCAATTCCAACAAGAGACGCAAGCTCTACTCCTCTACTCTCGACTCTTGATGTTGACCGAGTTGCCTGTGTTGACTCTTGCTTCTTTGATTGTTCAACTGCCAACCAGCTTCTCGGTCTCGGCCTCAAACACTCGCTGCTTCTGACACTAACACCACGGTCAGATTATTTTTGCATTCTAACCATTTACTTTTTTTAATTAAAACTGGTATTCTCTATTCACCATTCTTACACCTATGACCGGATTCTAAACACTCATCAGCAACATAATTTGGCTAAAATGCACTTCACACCGCCAACAACAAACACATATCTAAACAATAAAATAACACTCAAACTTATAAATATTTATTATACAAATTAAATATCATTACAAATTTATTTGACAAAGCTAATTAATCAGGTTAGCAGGCTAACGGTCCCCGAGACTTAAATCCCCGCCGGTGGTTATTCCCCAATTTTTTATTAGTCTGCAGAGCGTAACGTAAAAGACCGATACCTTAAAGCTTCAAAATTGACAAAAACTTGCTGAAAAAACTATTTTTCTACACTCCTCCAAATCTGAGAATATAAACAGAAATTTGTGCGTTCATTTCTTTTGATAAGATCATAACAAACCCAAAGATAATTTTAAAATACCACTTATCAACTGTCACTAATTGATTTCTTACTCTTCCTTCGGATAACACTTTTATTGTGACAGAAAATGCTTCAGTTCAATTTCCGATCAGAGTAGCCTGTGAATCTAAAATTAATTTTGCAACATCATAAAATAGAAATATGGAATTTGAAAAGTCTTTGTTATATATAAAAACTATTGACACAAAGAGGGTAAACCTTTCGTTGATCGCTTCTTAAACTTGGATTTGTGTTACAAGTTAGTCTTATGAAACTAATGTTTAAAAAACTGAAAGCATATTATCGGTTTCTTTTAGTTGATAATTTAAAAAACTCCAATGTGACCTTATGTCGGCTTCCTGGTTTGGCGATTTACCTTGGGCACTTTGAAAGCTCAGACCGTCCCTGTTTCCACCTACCGTTAAGTTCGAAAAACGACAATGTAATTAACCAATCTGGTTCACCCACGTCTCCCTAAATCGCCACAAATCAAAATATTGAATTCGCAATAAATCAATTTATTTTCAACTATTACATTCCGTACAAAACATCTTACGCATACTATATCTCAGGTAATATATCTAATACAGTGCTATATTCTCAATTAAATTATGTGAGCAACATTATATCTAGATGACTTAGACCATGTCATTTGCAATTCCTTCATTAACATAAGCTCCCATCTGGTCTTTTTCTTCTTTATTTAATTTATGACAGTGATGGGTTCCAGTTTGCGGAACCCATTTTGAATGCATCCAAATTCTGAATTTATGTAATCCCCAACAAGTAATATGTACAATAACAATAAACCCGACGACAGCGAGACAAATCACTGTCGTAGTTCCCGGTTTTCGCCAGTCTAGGATATTGTAGATATAAACTTGCCCCTCTCTAGAAGCGATTAACTAAGACGTAAATTCGATCATCACTCGGTCTCACCTGCTGATGCCTCCCGCTGCGTAAAAAATGACACTAAATACTGCGTAACATATTCCAAACACGACAGGGTAGCAGCAGTGAAGCAGCCGAATCGGATGCGCCACAACAAACAGATCTATCATCATCAACACGGAATTATTAGCGTGAACAAAAAAATTCATCGCGTCGAAGTCCATGACTTTTTCTGCAAGAACCTCTCATTAAACCCAAGAGGACTCAGCCCACTAACCCACCATCGTAAATTAAAGACCAGTACAGTATAGTTATCCCAAATGCGATGTCAGTAGCAATCACGTTCAACACCCAGTAGAACTTGTAAAATTTCAGGGTTGAAGATTGCAGGTTGGGACGGCTTCGCAAGCGAGGCGCCAACACACAAATTGACAGGATGATAGCACTTATCAGAGATTGTAAGGTGCAAGTGGTGTAACCCCAATTTGTCAAGTAAATCAACCATTTGGCTTTGAACGACGAGTCGGCGTCGGGATGCTTCAAATCGCAGATGGAGATTACGAAAGTCGTGAAGAAGAAAACAGCGATAATCCAGCGATAGACCAGATATATAGCACTAGGTTTTTGCTCTTTTTGCCACTGAAATTCACCCTTGAACGTGCGTCTGAAATAATTACTTTTACTTACTTGTGAAACAACAAATGTGATTGGTTCGTCATGTTCGAGCGATAGCTGTTTCAAAGAACAGTTTTTCTTCCATGTTTCTATCATTGTCTTAACCAAAAATCTGCAAATGAAGAATCAAAATTGACATGACATATCGACACACAACTAATCCATTGTAATTCTGCACAGCTACTAATCAGCAACATTTCTCTTTATAATAATAAATTGCGTAACAACCGGTAGGAAACGCGTGTAGGTAAATATATCAGATTTTGAATTTCCCCAATGTATAGAAAGTAGAAATGGACATTGGGATGGTTTTGACATGACGCAATGAACGCTGTGAGGAATTTCCGGATGATAATTCTTTTAAAGCCGACCAAACAATCATCGTAAAATTATTATTAAACAAACGAACAAAACATAATTATTTGTCTTCTTGCTCTTGGAAGTCATAAAACCTGAGTAAACGAAACTTATTATCTCGACTGCTCAACCGTTCTCTTCAGTCTCTAAATATTATACTCAGAGAAAATTTTAACTGCATTTAGGAATGTTTCAGTTTCGGAGTTTAATGCTGATTTGTTAATGGAAGGATAGCAATCCTTGAATTGTATAGTAATAATGCGAATGCGAATTTTATGATTAGCAAAATGCTATTGTATACTGCTATCAATAACTAATTACAGGTTAAAATGATTATTTCCTCCTTTATTCGCTTCACCATTAAAAACAATTCATAAAACCACTGAAACGTGAAATTGTATGCATATTTAATGAAGATAAATTTGACGCCAAAGTAAAACGAAAAACATTTAATTAAATAAATAGAAGCGTCAACTTAATAAACAATTGACTTTTTATAGCAATATACATAATGTGAAATTCGAGTCGGGTATTCAAGTTATGATGGTTTCAAAAAATTGCACTATTGAAAAGAGGTTTGGTATAATTTCAAAGATCAATTTTTTATTTGCGATAGGAATTATAAATTTAAGATTTTTTGCTTTGAGATCGTCGATTTAAATTCTATAAATGTATAGATTATTTTATTCTGCATTCGGCTCTGAAATTGAGTGCTGAAAAGTTGTTGGTAGGTGTCGAAACAAAACACGGGGTACATATAAAAGGTTTTTTCTAAAGTGTGTATAATTGTTCATTAGGTATTATACATTACATTTTATGCTATATCGTACCTCGCAATATCAGAACAACTTAGAACACAGTTTTTATAATTGTGACACACTTTAATTACACAACTTTTTCCATTTAATCATTGAAATCAGTTAAAATATTTGCTTACACGCATGTCCATTATTTTCCAAATATGTTCTCAAGGAGCTATGCTCAATTAACATAATGAATTTTTTAGATTGTTATCTTAAATAAGCAAGTTCTTATTGTTTTCAAAACATCTCCAAGACTTTTAAATGACTGCTTTAATTATAACAAATTTACGTGTTTGTGTAAATCAAGACGGAAAATGCTATTCTATAGTGTTTTCCGAAAAGAATCCTAATTATAAATTTAGTCCAAGTTTGGAATTATCTGTTCTGAGAAAACTCACACAACGAATGATATGCAGGTGGATGGTTTTATCTAAAACGAGCCTTAATATAGATTGCCATTAAAAAACCAAAACCTATTGTCTTGTCGGTCTTTTATAATTTGATAAGTGAAATTATCGAGTTTTTATGTCTGATCATTGTAAAAGATTACAAATAAGACATACAATAATTTGACATGATTAGATCGATTGGAGATAAAACGTATATAAAACGTATGGTTCTTATTAATAAAGAATTTAATCATCGTTGTAATTTTATTTCAAGTTTTTGCTTTTTTTTAAAGTTTTGTGGCTGTATATTGTGTTTGATTGCCGGCGTCCTTTTAATTGTCTCTGGTCAAATAAATCAGTGTTAATTTGTCCGGCTATTGTTGTAAATTGTGAACTGAGTGCAATACGGCCGTAATGTGATTCGCAATCGATTTTTCGATGGATAATCGCCGGTTTTGGCTGAACTTACTGAAAAGCGCGCCTGTTATCAGGTAGGAACCAGTGGCAGGTAGTTGGTCAGTAGCGCGGAGAGGTGATTGTTGACGTGACCTGCACGAGGTGGTGGCAAATGATCTCCAAGTTCGTAGACCCCAAAAGAAGCACTACACACCACCACACCAGGCTCGATCGGGTGACATGTTCGACGTTAGTGCGATTTCGAACGACGACCACGTGAGGGCTAAACCAGCCTGCGCTGTAGACAGTGGCCTAACCAGCCCACCTGCAATTGACCGGACCGCAGGTCACCGTTTAACCTCTGCCAATTGGGAAAATACATCGGTACAAACCGCGATTGCCGACAAAAACATGCCGAAACGGCAAACGCGATGCGCACGCTGCATCCCGGAACACATATTGACGCATATCATATTTTGGCCCCTCAAAACTACCCTTCTAGATTAATTATGCAAAGACAAAGTTCTGACAAGTTGAAGACTCACTTAGGCCCATTCGTTACACAACTTGTTTAAATAAGTCTGAATGCAAGAGAAAGTAACCATCTTGCGCTGACAAACAATAAAGTTTTGCTAATTGACGAAAATGTTTTGGGAATTATATCACTGATATTTGTACATTCGTTGTTAATTAGCTATTTGTTGTCTTGTTGGAAATTGGGAATTGTCAATAAAATCGATAAGAAACAGAGACAACGTCCACTTGTGTTATTTATTATTTAGTATGTTTCCGAAGAATTCTTTCTTCGTGTATACACAGGACGTTAAAAGTGGTTCAGCTACTAAAATCACCTCATGATTGTGGACGTAAAAACTGGTAACATGTTTGGTGGGTTATACTCTTTGCAATTAATGACCAATTTAATTTATGCGACGAATATTGTAATCCAATTAATTTTTTACGGATCTATTAACTGTGTTATAATATTTATGTTAGATTATGAAGCCTACTTGAACACATACTTCATACTTGAAAGTTTATCAAGCAAATTGTGATTGACAACTTATTTCCATTAGATTAAATAATAACATGCTGTAATGATAACTTTTCTTGTAGTCTTTTTGTAAGTTGATTTATTTTACCTTGAACAGGAGACAAGTGTTTAACTTCTTAGGAACTGTTATCAAAATATCAGTTCCATGTTAGAAACACAAAGTTTTCCAACGACTGACTTTGATCCGATGCAGAATGCCATTATTTTTTAAACATTAAGACTGTTATCGTGTTATTTACATAGAGTAAAGTAAAAAACAAATACAACAATGGCAATTATCTTATAAACCCATGCATAGATTTATCATGCAGTTAAAAGTAGTATCTTTAATTTCTAAGAATTTATTCTGATGCGGTGCCATATCGAATGCTTGAAGCATTTTTCTGGTCGAGTTGAAATTCAAAGGTTAAGCTGTAGCAGTTTGGAGATACAATTTGGCAAATTGGTTGAGTAAAACAGAGGGATTAGTAACTTGTATCTGATGGTTTATTATTATGATTGTATCTTCTGATTGCCTACATAATAAATAGCTTTTATTGATTATGTTTGTGAAGAAAAAATACCATTGGTTCCCACTGAATCTCGTTGAGCTTAACAAATCTGATTGATTCAATTATAAGCTCATTTATTTTAATTTATATAACTACTAAGTATACAATGCGAAGAACATGAATGAAGAACATGATAAAATTAATGCTCTGCGGAATATAACAAATTATTTCTAGAAGAAAATTGGTGAAGTCATCATTTTTTTAAACTAAACTCTAACAATTTATCTCTGTATTTTACCTAATTACATTATTTTATCTTAACTTCAGGAGTACATTAACGACCTGTCATCGTTCGAATCTGTCGCTGCTAAAAACTTACTCGTTGCTCATCTATTACTAGCTAACAAGGGAATTTACCTCTAATTATCTATAATTACATTCATACCAATCTTGCAAAAAATCCATATTTCTACGCGACATTTGAGATCGTATCAATTGCGAATAACTCAATTCAGAATTTCATTGTTAATTTTTAATAACGTACTTCGGCAGCTAATACAATTCTCTTTTTAATAGTTTTAAGCACGATCTTCGTCTTCCAATTCAGACTAAATTGCTATGCCACAAAAGACACAATTGTGTTCAAGGATGCTCACTTTATTTAACAAAGACGACGGCGTCTAAATGACATTTGTAAAGAAAGGAAGGTGTGAGAATTACTCGTCTACTCGTTTCAATATAGACCACATTGTAAATATTACATAGAACTAACAACCATAAAAACTTGTTAAAATCTACAATGGTTTTTAGTTAATGCACCAAAAAAACGTCGTTGTTTATTGAGAATTAACGGTATTTTAAGTCAACAAATTCTTCTATTCCAGACCATAATGATGTATGGCACTGTGCTCAGTGTCGCCGGAGTGATCCGGGTGGTCAAACCAAAATAAGTGCTTACTGACCTAAACAAATTAGTTTGGGCTATGACTCGACTGTAAAAGCGCGAATTAATAATCCGATGACAATTTGTAAAGTTTTGCGCTCGTCGCAAGGTTAATTGAGGCCAAGGCGAAGAATTGCGCTTTTTTCAAGTCAATAGAATCTTAAAACAACGCCGCAGCGTGATCAAAATGAAAACAATAATCAATAAAACCGACCGTGAAAATCTACACTGATTCGCTTTACCGGTTGACAATATACATCTTTCTGTCGCTCAGCCACTTGCAATAATTCAATTAAATTCCGTGGGAGCGTCTAGTCCCGCAAAAATGCACTTCTAAAATGAAAGCTAGAAGAAGATGTTTTTTATGGGCTCAAAAACATCCAAATGTCCCTGCACGCAACCCAAATAATTACGTCGGATGGATAACCAATTATGCATTCTCAATCCGAAAAAGAGCAAAAAATAAAGATGGAATAAGAAATACATTGTTAGTTGGAACAATCTGAAACTGCACGTCAACTTTCTCACGAGTCGAGGTTCATGTAGAAGTGACGTCAGTATTCACACTGGTTTTATTCAGCATTTACATATAAACTTCATTTGCTCTTGGAGATTCAAAGAAAATCCCTCAGAGGATATACAAGAATGACCTTAAACAATAAAGGATTAAAGACAAAACAATTTTCCCATTCTGAACATTCTATTATTAGTATGCATGTTACACAACCACTTTAAATAACCTGATGCTGTTAAAGTGAGATGAGTATATACTTGATTTCTGAAAATGGCAGTTGTCTTTTTATTTAATTTACTTTACTTGGTGAACTGCGGAGCGGACCGCAGATTAAACTTTTACTAGTCAGTAGCGGGCCGATGGGTATGCAACCTGTAGTGCAGTGCAGCAAACTCTGGGCGCATACACAAAAGGGAATAACAATGCATTTTAATTATAATAATTTATTTAAAGTTAATAGCTGTTTACTAACAAATATAATAAGTTAGCTATCAAAAGTATAATTCCACGTCAACTATTGCACGAGAAGAACAAAGAACTAAAAAACTACTCCAGTCGTATACGACATAAGGCTACATGTTTCAGGAATGTTGGCATAACCCGCAACATTCATCAACTCAAAAAATAACTTTAGCTAAACTATTGCTTTCAGAATACAAACAAACACACGTTCTTTCCCAACCCCTTGTATTCCTTAACCAATACGCAGTATTCAAATTAAAAAATACAAGAAGTGACCACTAGGAGCAGCTGGACGGCTGAGTCGTGGTAAAAAAATTCACATTACTTGTAAAATTTGACTGGCTTCAAAACCCATGCCAGGCAATAAAATAACAGGACTCGATACGTGTCCCGATTCGACACAAACCATGTTTGGATATTCGTCGTCACCGAAATCGTTCATCTCTTTGGCATGTTCGACCCAAGGATTCCAGATGACGGTGTCGGGAAAATTGCACTTTTGTATGCGCATTTTACGCCCTGAGACAACGTTTGTTATTATATGTTCGTGTGGTGTATTTTGATAAATTCTATCAGTCCATTCTCCGATTGTTACGACGTCGCGAGTTTCTTGATAGAGAGCTCCTTCGTTACTTGTCTTATCGAGGTATGTGCAACCCTGTAGACCTGTTATTTGGCAACGACGCACGTCAGGAACTTTAAAATATGTGTGCAACAACAAGTTAAAGCTAAACGTCGATTCTTTACTTGGGTTGTACACGGCTATATTGGAATGTAACTCCTTCTCACGCAGGATTAGTCGGTACGTCAATTGGAATCTGCACAAACAAAATTCATACATTACTAGTTTGTACAAGTCTTAGTTTGTTTGTACAAGCACAATCAACTAACTATAAGTGAAACACAACCTTCATTCGAATGCATATATGGTAATTATAGTTTTGTAGTTCACTTTACCGTGACTTAATTTTTTATTCATACCTTAATACTTCCTTAAAATTATCAACAATATTATGTTTTTCTAGTAGCATATTTGTTTTCTAATTGCTACATCCATTATAATTTATAATCGTTTCCATACAAAAAGCACTTTTGTTCATTATGTAATTTGGGACAATTGATGCTTTTTATTCAGATATTAACACAATAAAAAAATTATTAGCGTAATTATGTTACATGACTGCTACCTTTGCAACAAAATAAACAGAAAAATCATGAAAATTTATTATTCTCTCTATTTTTACATTTGTAGGAAAACTACAATTGCAGTTTTGATTGCACAATTCCTAGAGATGCAATTTTCTACTCTTCAACTTGATGAATTATGTTAATGATACGTTTCATTTATTACATCAATTAATATGCAAGTTATTGTTTGTTTGTTGCATGCCTGACGTAAGATCCCATCACGTGCATCACTTAAAAGTACGGTAATTAAAATAGAAACAACGTAATGTAGCATTAAAAAATCCAAGAAAACGTATTTTATCTTATACAACCATACACTGATTTGCTGACAAAACAGGGATAAAAGGGTAAAATTGGTAACAAATGGAAATAATTAATTAAATGAATAGGGAATTACGCATGCGCAAAAAATAAAAAATTGAAAAATTTAAATTTCGCACGAAAATCGAGAGGGTTGTGATTGACAGAACTAGCAAATGCTATACAACTTCATTTTGTTGTTTATTATAAAAGTGATAAAAATTTAACAAAAAATGTGCGGTGATTGTGATTACTAGATATAAATTGTGAAAAAAGGAACTTACGGGTAGCTCCAAACGGCGCGTGTAAAATCAGAATCTATGAGAGAAAAAATGGCCTCAATATCGCCACTTGCTAGTCTCTCTGGAGGCTTCTCCAGATTCCAACGTACAATTCTCGCAAAACCGTGCTGGGGACCAAAATTCCAAGGGCCAAATTGAGCTAAAAGTAAATTCTATTACAAATTCTGACTTTAGAGTCAAACTACTTACGAAAAACGAAAGGGATTCCGCCCCTTATGGCTTTTTTGCCGTCAAATACTGCTTGCTTACTGTAAAAAAATTGTGATAGTTCTGGTTTTATTCGGTGTTTGCGAGACGTACCTAACGAATAGTTGTTCTTGGTTGTTGACTCTCCAGGAAACAACAGTGGCACCTGTAAATTTAGCATAGTTGTAAAAAATGCCTCTGAGGTTATGTTTTTATTGTTTGGGGGCGGTTTGTGTATGGGAGATGGGGTAATGATGGTTGGATCTGATTGAAGTGCAAGCATACCGTGTAAGTTAATGGTACATGTGGTGTTGTTGCCCCTGTCGAGCACTACAACACTTGTAGCGGCCATGACCGATCTTTCTGTGGCCACCGGCCGAACGCGCGATCCTCCCGCGTTGTTTTGCTGTTCCCGCACTTGGTTGCTTGGTTCACACTTTCACGCGTTGCTACCTGCGCGGTCACACGACAGGTGTAAGTCCCTCTGTTGGTAGCGAAAAAAATAAGATTCTTATCAAACGCCCCGATTGGATAAAGTCGATACAAGCCAACTAGGGATGAGAGGCGAAAGCGCACTGGTTTCTATCCCCCGTTCTTAATATGCAGAAGAACGGACGCGACTAGTTTTTCATCATTCTACAAAAAACCGAAACAGTACAGATAATGGAGGAGAAGACGCCATGCGCGCCGCCTATCATCCGGTAGACTCATCACAAGTAACGGCTCTGCTTTACCGGCCAAACAATTTCAAAAATTTAACAAAAAAAAATACCAAAAACACTTCTTGCGTTATAATTTTTCATATCTGTACCCCAGAATAAAAGTGTACTAAGTCACAAAACCACAAATACGAGATAAATCAAATTAAAAACTTAAAAAAACCGTTACGTTAAGTTAGAGTTAAGATCATTTAAAAATGCCTATATTCTTAACTATCACCAGACGGCTGGGAAGAAATTATACATAAATCTATGGAAACCCAATTTTCAAGAAATTTGGAGTTAGTACACTTTTATCCTGCGGTACAGATATAGAAGTAAAAATATTCCCTTTGTTAATTTGTTGTTACTATGTATGTGTTATGCAACACAAAATGCACGCAAAGCGGGTCCATTTTTTGTTTTTGTGTGATTAATTGTTTATGAATAATGCTGATGTGATTAAAATAATTGCATAATTATGTCTTGTAGAGTTCAGAATTTTATTGTTTTTGTATGTTTATTAGAACAGAATATAGTCCCTTATTTATCATGATTTACTGGGGGTGTGAGAGCCGGGTAAGAAAATAATCGAATTGGTATGATAATGGGGCATTTATGTTGCGAGTTGACGTCATAGAGGTCTGGCAGGTCACATTGATGTGAATTTGTTGTAGTAATCGATATTTCAATGATAATTTCACGGTAAAATTTCGATCTTTGCATGAATTGTGTGGGTGCGTCGTCGTCGTATTGTGAATTTTTATACCAATAGGTTTTTTCCGAGTCAATTTATTATAGCCGTTGTAGGTTTGCGTGATGAAATTAGGTATTCATCGGGGGATAGGATGTCGTTTTTATTTATATTGGAATATAAAAAGAAATAAAAAAATAGAAAACACTTTTATCAATATTACTAGAAGGTCAATGTGAGGAAAAGTGGAGGGTAAAACGAAAGAGATGTTTATACTATGTAATTTTATTTAATATTTTTATCCAATGAACACATTGTCAATAATAAGATAAACAGATTGCGCCATTTACAAGAATGGTAAATAGATGGAAATTGGAAAGAAATGATAATAATCGAACGTATAAAAGTGATAACGACTAGCTCGGGATGATAAATAAATAAATTCTATTTGAACGCCACTTGGACGAGGGCACCAACAGTCATAAGTGGTTGATGTATAATGGCGTAATCTGGCAGCAGCTAATTTAGTGACACATAGATATAAATAAATAGAATTTAATATTTCAAGGTACCTTTAAGGCTAGTTGAGATCACTAGTGCACTATTATCTCTACGGCAGGCCGCACGAGACAGAGTCGGTCGCAGCATGCAAGAGAACTGATCGTGAGTGAGCACTGTCACCTGTCACAGCACGGAGAGCCCGCCCTCCGGCGGTCGGTATAGATTGTACATGTGAATATCCTATCACTTCATAATTAATTTGACATTTAATACAGTAATTATTAATTAATATTGCTCAGTAATGTTCTTATAGTATATACCATATACGCGTATTTTACCACCTAATGAGACTGAGATGATAGCGTACTTAAGTACACACTCACTTTATGTTTACTGAATTTATAAAATGACACTCTAAGTATCGATATTATTTGAGTGTAAAAGAAATTCGCTGGACATTAAATGTAATATGATATATAACAGAACTAACGAAACTACATGAATACACTCGTTAGTGTTAGCAGTATTAGGCTATTCTACTATAGTCTTATGCTACACCCTATCATAACACTGCATGCACTCAAGTGGTATTTGGCATGGCCCAGCCGTTCTTATAGAAAAGTGAGCACTTCGCGGAACATCATTTTGATTTGATACAGTATTACATAGGATAGAGAATCACGTCGGTTCCAGTAGGAGACAGTACAGAAAAACGATTACTTATTATCATTCTACCTGTACATTCTCCAACATCACCGCTCATACAATCTATAACATTGAGAAGAATAAATAAGTATCTCTTTGGCATAATCACTATCCAGACGTGATAACATATTATAATTAAATACTGTTCGGCTATCGCCATTTCCATAGCAACGTCCTTTGATTAACTGCTTGGCTGTCAGACAATACAAAACTGACACTCCAATCTTGATTCCATATTTAAGTTACGAATAGATAGTGATAACTTCTTGGCCACCACCACGGACCATGAGCACACGTTCTAAACCTTCAGTGAGCACTTCTAAGAATTCCATATCTGTAAATTTTCAAATTAAATCACACATTAAACCACTTTGAAAAACTGACAATTGGATTCTCTTTCCAACTTGGTGTCTTTTGGAGGGCCAGGTAAATTCAAGATCACAAGTTGAGCTTCGTGGGAACGACTCACTATCACTTCGTTTAATTTCACAGCTGTATGCATACGACGGACGTTGCCTTCGTCACTAGAAAAAAAACCAGTAAAACACGTGCTAAATCACACCTTGGAATTACTCACGGGGTTATTGTTGCGGGTTTCTTTTTCTCTTGGGAAATATTGTTCTCTTTTGTTTCTTCATTACATTCCTTCTCTTTCTCCGACGGATCTTCTTTTTCTGTTGTCGAATTATCATTATCCTCGGTTTTCGGCTGTGAATTAGGCTGAAAAAACAAAATTATAATCAAATTTACTTCATTTTGATGACATACCTCGTTTGTCGGTTCCGTTTCAGCCGCTTTGTTATCTTTATCTCCTTCAGCGCTAGGTTCCTGGAACCTAACTTTGGTAGCAGTTTTAGCATCCACATTTTGATGGTGTTGATCTACAATTGACTGAACCTAAAAATAAAATTGTATGATTTGTTTATGTGAATTGAATCCAGAATGAGCGCGATGAGTCCGCGTGGGCAGTAATTTTAACCTATATGTTAGACACAGTTAAGGATGAAGATGGGAACTTAACAAAAAACGTGCATAAAGCAATAAACCATGAGCCAATCTAGCAAAACACGATGATGCTTTACCAGAGGCAGCTTCTCTTCAGTAGACATTGCATTGAAATCCACCAAATCCACCTTGCAGGTTAAAGTGTATATTAAAAGTTATACATTAAATAATAATGTATGTATAATTCATGTGGAAAAAAATAAGAAAAAACTTACCACACCCAAACTTTCTTTTTTGTTGAGACGAAGTTCTCGCAACATTTGATTTCGCTGTTCCATCATCAGAGTCCTTTCGTATGTGTATGCCGAAATATCGCTATCCATCTAGAATTTTTCTGTCATAAAAGAAGTACCTAACTCCGGCAAAATGCATACCATTTCAACGACTTCAACTTCTGCTTCAATTCGAAGGTGATATAAAAACGTCTTTAGATCTTTCTTCATTTGTATGGAATTGTCTTCCATTTGAGCAACGGTGAAAATGCGCATCTTGCAATTTTTCCAAGTGCGATGCTGTTTGAGAAGGAAGGGTAACAACATGAGAAGCCCACCGTCATGAACAATCCACCAGATATCGATGTTCCCGAAGACTTTCTCTGTGGAATCCGGGAAAAAGTTGATACCTTTAGGAACTAATAACGCCATGTGTGCGGCTGTTACATTCCGGACGGTTTGCAAGAAAACTTGCCAGGTGCGATCATCTTCCGATTGTCGCCATCCATACGGCCATCCCAAAATAACCGTATTGGGTTTCATACCACCAAGACCAGAGGTTTGAACTCTAAAAATGAAACGTCGAAAACGCGAAACGTGTCAAGAGCAGCAAAGCTTACAAGTTAGATAATCCTTCGGTAATGTTGCGTGCCACTAGAATATCGACAAAACCCTTGACCCGTTCTTCGTCCATGGTTTTTCTCAAGCTTTGTTTAGCTGCCATCGCTTCTCCGTATGATCGTGTAAAATCTCCGCCAATTACAGCAGCACAAACTGTCAAACCCTTCCCTGTAAACGTCCTATAATATATGTTGTCAGTTACTGGTGTTTCGTTTATTTACCAGCTTTGAGTTGCGACGCGAAAGCAAATAATTTTCGGTATTTCGGAACGAGATCAGTTGTTAATTTAACGAGAATGAGAAGCTGAGGTCTCCAGTTTTTGGTGTGGGGAGGACCCTCTTCTAGGCGGAGTAATGAATATCGCGCTGCTGACAACGCTAGACCTCGAATGCCGTCACCCCATTCTTTCTCGGCACTATGATAAATTGCTCGGTTATTTAGCGATGATTGGGCGTGTTAATTAACTTACCCTCTGTATTCGATGTATTTATAGATCATGCCTGCCATTCCCATGGCAAGGAGAGCAAAGTACCAGGAGGTCATAAACATTATTGCTATGCACAACGATAAGCCGATAAATGAAAGGGACCAATGGTAATATTTAAATCTTGGTCGCCAATTGGGTGTTCGTAGTAATGTTTGTAAAGCGCAAGCGAGATTTACAAAACCGTAGCACATTAAGAAAAACATCGAGAGTAAGGGCGCCAAAAGATCAACATTTCCTAATAATATACCACATTGACATATGACGATTGTTAATAATAATGCTCGAGTTGGCTCGCCACGGCTTGATGACACGGCAAACGGTGATAAAAATGGAATAATACCGTCTTTGGCGATAGCTTGCAGTAAGCGCGGAGCTCCAGTCAATGACTGAAGACCAGCACCAAGGGTCGAAAGAAATGACCCAATTAATATAACCCATTCATTTGGCCACGCCATATTGGCTACAACTAATTTACCTCCTATAGATGAGCCAAATCTGAAACCAATTGAATTTATTTGGTGCAATCTTTAGCCGACTACTACTAACTTATCTCTAAGTAGAAGGTTGTCGACAGTAGCAGCGAAAAGAATCACAGATGATAAATACACAGTCGACGTTGTTAATATGGCACAAATTGTTCCGATTGGTATAGATTTTTGGGCATCAGCTAAGTCACCCGAACGATTAGACCCGGCCATAATACCAGTTACTGAAGGGAAAAAGATTCCGATCAAAATTGTAAAAGTTGTTGTTATATCTGCCGTCACTTGAGCAGTTTCTCTCTGAGTTTCCATTGGTTCAATATCTTCAGGATTGTTCCCTATTGCTATGTACTGTCCATTTTCCAAGAAACTATCGTAGATATTGTCTAAAATCCACAAACTTAATTTTGAATCAATTTTTCACCAATAGAAATCTACCCAAAAAGACTCCGGATGCTAAGCCTTTAATCCCTTGAACTAGCATTACGTCATGTGTTTCATAGTACGGGTCGCAACGAGTTCCGTTAGGACAAAACATGTTGTGTAAGAAACCACTACCGTTTTTATAACAATCGGCAGCCGGTACACGTAATAATCTTTTGCCAAGAACGCACATTCTGTAAATTAGAATGTTTTAGTAGTCCAAATTTACAGTCGAGAGATGGAAACACAGAATAAAATCAGTTAAAACAATTTGATTAGTACATATACATGCACATAAGGGATGAACAAATACGTGCATAACGGTTATACTAACTGCAAATCATCTTTGCCGTTGATATTGCGGAATATTCCAATGTACACAGCCAGTATGGAAAGTATGACGCATGCAAGAGCAACTGCGGCAAATTTGTTGACAAACTTCACCCCGACAAACACAATAGTTCCCATCACCATGAGTAAACCAGTTCCATAGACCCGAAAGTTGTTGTACATTGCATCTTGATTTGTAGTAAAATCCCCAAAAATTGACAACCAAGGAGCCATGTAGGTCTAGAAAAAATCATCCGGGAACTGGTCCACTACACCCTCCTCTCTCTACTTACCAAGACAATTTCAACCGCACCAACGATGTACATAGCGGCTGCTAACGTCGTCCCTGTGTAAAATAGCATGCCAACAGCGCCGCCAAACTCTGGACCAAGTGACCTGGATATCATAAAATAACTCCCACCTCCTGGTACCACCCCGTTGGTGGCGATCGCCGACATCGAGATGGCTGTCAACATGGTGACGCAGCAACAGCATAACACGATAAGGAAACCTTGAATCGCCCCTGCTGTGCCTACTACCCACGTCAATCGAATGAAAAGAATCACACCGAAGATATTCTGGATACAGGGGAGGTAGACACCCATGAGGGTGCCCATACGAGCGCCCCCACCGGCCGGTCTTGCATCGGGATCATTTGATGCTGGAGGAATGGTGTTCGAGTAGTTTGCTAATGAACTTATGAGAGTAGATATCCTGGGTCTGTCTTCCATCTCCTCGGAGTAGAGATACAGGTTCGTCTCGTACCCCGACATCTTCTCCGACACAAAAGGTTGCTCTTCGGCGCCATCTCCTGCAACCATACGCCGAGTGTCAACGCCATCATTAATGATACGGAAAGTTCGCTTCAACGCTAAGAAAAATGCGAAAGCTCTCGGCTCGAAGTTGAAAAGTAAGAAAGTTACGATGTAAAAACAAGTTAGAACCGATGGGGATTGGGATGAGGATCGAACAAGTTCGAAGAAACTTTTAAAGATTTTATTAGAATTTTATGACTACAACTTAATAGTCTTCTATGGTAGTTTCATTGCTACCACAAGTATATAGAACAACTAAAGTAAAGTGGAACAGCAAAGACTGGGTATTGTTCCAGTTACAATTACGTATCATATCTTGTTAATGGAATTTTCAGCTAAAATAACTTATCATGTGACTCTGTTACCCAAAGCTCCTTCCGTAGTATAATCAATTTCCGCAAAAGAGCTTCAAACAAAAAAAAATCTTTTAATAAAACTTCATGTTTTGTATTTTTCATATGTGAATAAGTAAGGCTAATAGTTATTGAAGTCTCCTCAAGGTTCATTTTGGATGTAAGTAAACACCTTGACTTCATTATAGGTTAAATTATAAACGCTCAGCAAAATGTAAAACAGATAATTTGCATCGTTTAATTAGAAAGTCTATTTCCAGGATGAAAACTTGCCAGGGAATAAATAAATTACCAAAATATTATCGAAATATGCGTCAAACAGGAAAGTGGAGTTTAATTTTGAAGTTGCCATACACGTGCAAAGCAGTATGGCGCGCTTCAGAAGAGTTTGTTTGCAGTTTTTTATTACATATTTGTGAATCGCTCTGAAAACATTCATCATAAAGCGAAGTTGAAGTTGTAATATAAACGTCAACAACTCATCATATGCAGTCAAAGCTAAACACTAAAAAATGACAGAGATGTAGTAAATCTGTGATTTTCCACCAATTTAAGGATTATTCAGAAAATTTACATTACGCCGTCACCAGCTTCTATCGATCAAAAATTCATTACTTTTATTCAAATAACAAAAATGATTACGTTAATTTGAGCCCCCCGGTTTCAAATATTAACTTCCAGTTATATTTACACCTTCCTTTTGTAATATATATTTCACGATGTACTCGTATATGTTTATTCCAATTACCCTTGATAACGCAATTTACTTCATCTAAATGTCAAAAAGCCGATTTATAAAAGTTACGTAATAAAATAAGGTATAGGGGATTACGGTTCATAAATCCATAATATTTCTGATATTAAGCAATAAAATAGAGCAATGCTTATCAATTAGTCTGATCTAGGGATTAAGCTGAGCAGATACTTAATCCATGTTTACTCAAGTTTGTTTTTTAAAAGTCGCAATTCTAGGAATACTCATTGTTTCTGCAAGCGCGTCGAAATTTTCGCAATTAATAAGAGTTGAGCGAGAGTCCTCGAGGCGAAATTGAAACACAAAGAAAGTTTATTTCATTGGACTTTCCAGTATTTTGATTTATTTTTATTACTTTAGCATTGATTCATTTCGAAAAAGATATGCAAATTGGAGTTGATTCACCAAAATTGAAGCTCCTCTTCCGAGGATAAACAAAATATTATTACGTTAAGATTGTGTATCTTATCGTTATTACTAACGTAACAAGTGATTCCATTAGTAATATTAAAAATAAATTTTAAAATGCAAGCGTGAAATAAGCGGATGAATTATTGCACATAATCCTTGACACTTCTATGGTAAAACTCTATTGTGATGTGAAGAGCTGAAAGAAGCCTTTGAAATGAAGACTGATTTTTTAAAGCCAGAAATATTGCTGAAAATTGCAACGTAAAAAACTGACCATTATCTAAGTGAAACGCCAAATAAGAGGATTTAAAAGAAAATCAATTGATTCTTGTGAATAAAGAGGAAATCTAATTAAGGAAAGTACGATAGTATGTGGAATTTTTGTACCACATTTCAGAACAAATATTGTTCAATAAATCAAAAACCTGTTATCGATTAGCAGTCAATTTTTACAAGCTAGGAAACTTAGCGATTCCAAGTGTTTTAATTTATTCTAACAGCGACTTTCACAAAAACATGATTGATTGCAAAGAATTTGCAAGAACGGCAAAGAATTTGGATAAGAACCAAAATCATTCTAGATTATAGTCACTTGAGAGACAGGGTGCGTATATTGATGATCTCACATTGAAATTAGATTCTAAACAATTAGAAACCGAAAGGAAATCGTCTTTAAAGTCACTTAGCCAAGAATGAAGTTTCCATGTTGGCAATAGTTAGATGAAAGACGAACGTTGGCGGTAATCTAAGAATTTAATTATTAAAGTTAATTAATCCACGTATAAATCTTTCTCATTTTAGATGAAGCAGAAAATTCCGTCTTCCGTCGGGATTGAAATTTATGTATCAAAGTCGATTAGGAATTTTATTTTATTTTAAAAAAAGTTTTAGCTTTTGAGAGAATTTTTACGATACTGCAATGCCGCTACTGTAACGTTGTTGGAAAAAAAAAACAGGATCTAGTTAGTTTCAGCGACCAAAACCCATCAAAGTGTTTAGTAGATTAGCTAACACTATTAAAAGATAAAGACTAATTTGTTGGCAATAAACAGACGGGAGAAAATTACTCCTGCAGTTTGTACAACCGTAATTGAAATTGTAGAGTTGTCTACAATATTCAAAACAAAATGAAATCGATCGCACTTAATTTAGCTTAAATCTAAATAAGTGAAAGTTGAGCAGAGCTTTCTGCTGTGATATTTTGCAAGTTAATATTTCGGTTAATGTGTCAATAATGGGACTAGAATATTATGTAAATTTCGTCGATTGATATATTTATTATTACCATTAGTTTTAATTAGTGGTCACACGGTAAACATTGATTGCATTTAAATTTTTGCTAAATGATAAATTGCAGCAATTAAAATTAATGGTATAGGTATCTTGTTTGGCTGAAAAAAAGTAGTCGAAATCCATTCAGCGATAGGTTTTGGCACCGTCTAAAATTAACTCGTGATTTTTGCGTAATAATGTAACATTAATACATGTTCAAAATCATGTTTTGTATCATGTGATCGAGCGATAAACTGAAAATGTTGAGTTAATCCCGAACAACTTCAAGATTGTAAATAATGAGTTTCCATTACGAAAGCAAATGACATTAAAAATGGATATGTACGTAAAAGTTGTTGCAATTTGATTACGAATTGTTTCAAACTTTCTTGCGGTTTAGAGAAGAAGTAAAAAAGAGTACCACCCACACCGTCAGGTTGATTCAATTGTGACGAATCTGGACAATGCGGAGGGCTAACTTGTTAGATTAATCCGATGTTTTCGTCGAGTTTATCTGGCAACGCTTCGATCGGGACACAAATAAAGGATTAGGAAAAAGGGCTCTCCCTTAGGAGATAAGAAAGGGGCGAGAAATCGACTTGGAACTCGTGACCGAGTTAATAGAACAGTACCAATCTGTAACACCAGAATTCATATGTAAAATGCATATAAAGTAGCTATAATCTAATCCAAAAATAGAATGATCGATAAGGGAAGGATTATGGAGCCCATCTTAAAATATTATGATGATTTATTCGCGTTCGAATTGTTGAGGCGGAACAGACCTTGTTAGATGAGAGCATGGATATCACGAAATATAAAAAGCTTATTCGAAATCGACGTGTTCTCTTTCGTGGCCTTACAGCCTTACGCAGGTTCATCGATCCGATTCAGCAACCCCAGAGGAGGATTAAGGAAGACCTAGGCAAACATGTAACGAAAGGGCGACACCATGCCAAATAGACATTAATTGAGTAATGGGTATTCTGTTTTCATTATTTAGCAATTCAAATCATTTAACTTAAACGAAAAGAAAAATCGTGCATTCGTCCCTGTGGTATTTTCTAGGTCAAAGTTTGCATCAAGGCATGACCTACAAACAAAAATCTCCACCCTCTTCTCGCAGATTCATTTTGCAATTTATCCTATCGATTATTTGTTAAGTGCGACATGAGCTTAAAGGAGATATTTGAAAAGCGCAAATAGCCGACAACTCCCTCGGGTTAGGTTCTCTAATTAGAGTTTTTTTGGAAGGAGGGATAACTTTATTAAAAAAAGAAAAAATCGTAAAAGCTAGATGAAATAAATACTTCGATCTTGTGCGCCAAACCTTTCTTTAATGGTATTAAATTCTGGAAAATTCCAAATATTCAAACAATTCAAATAAAACACAAGAGAGCTTTCAAATTACTTACAACAATAGATAAAGACATTCCGGAGCTTTTACGATTTAACGTGATTTGGTTATAATTTGTGTTGGAGGATAATTAACCGCGTAACAAATTAGTCACTTCGATGGAGTTTTTGTTTAAATAAGGTAAAAAAGAATTATAATTGTAGAGTTTAGCAAAATTGTCATTTGCAGAGCTTAATGAGGCCTCGTTACAGAATGGCAGAAACTGGTTGAGTAAATGTCACGATCGCTTATTTGCTAACATATCCCAAAAAGCTCTATCAAGACTCAATCTATAAGTATTGATTTTTCAGTGAATTTCGGTCAATAAGTCACTTCCCGCGTTATTTGAAGAATTTGTTTCCGGAAATTTAAAATATTTCTATTGAGTAATTGTAAGTTGTGGTAATTAAGTTATTTGTTGAATCTTAACATGTCATTTAATTTACTACCTACATTTTTGATCGTCAGAGAAATAAATTGACTTAAATGTTTGTTTAACAGAATCATTTGATTTTAATTAGTAATGGGTCAGGAACGTAATATTTATGATGAATAATAATTAGTGGCTTTTCAATTTAATCGTAAATGGTAGAAACAAAGGAGATGATAGTGGTAATGGTGTGAAGTGGTTGCATTTCGGATGGAATAACGAATTGCACGTTGGTGTACTCGAAGCGAAAGTAAATCGATAAGTTATTTATATGTTTTATATATGGAAGTATTTGGTGTGAACCTGAATGTGAACGGCTAACGGAAAGGGTAGCGTTTGAGTTCCGAACGAGTGGAGTAGATGAGCAGAAGCGAAAAGAG